TAAAACTCTTGTTTATTAAAAAAAAAGTTGTGCCAGACAAATCTCATTTATTTTTTTGATAGAGTTACAAGCTTGGTGGATTAGGGAATGTTGTGGACATAGTGTATCTTGATCTCAGTAAGGCTTTTGACAAAGTCCCCCATTATATTCTTACAGAGAGACTGGTAAAATGTGTGCTGGTTGAGGTAACTGTTGGGTGGATTTGTAGCTGGTTGACTGAGTGCTCACTAATGGTTCCTTATTATCTTGAAAAAAGTGATATGTAAGGTGCCGCAGGATTCTGTCCTGGGCCTGTTGTTGTTCAACGTCTTTATAAAAGACTTGGATGTAGGAATTTTCAGTTAACACCAAACTGGGACAGGTAGCTAAAGACAAAATTCAGGTTCAATTTGACCTTAACAGATTGGAGAACTGGGTCAAAACTTGCAAAATGAATGTCAAATTTTCAGTTTACATTTCAGTTTATATTGTATAGGGTTATTGGCTCCCCAGTTTGTGTTTTGTTTTATGTCTTCCTAAATAGAATGAATTATTTTTTAAAAATATTTAGGGAAAAGAGGGAGCAGATGGGAAAACAGGTTCTGCAAAGGGAGGAAAGACTCCAGTTTAATTTTCATGCTGAAGACCTCAGATGTGGTAATCACTATACAGTAATGCTGTTTTGTTTGAACACCATTTCTCCTAACATTATAGTACTCGTGCCATCTGTACAGTGTACAGTTAATAATCTTTGGGGTGGGGGAAGTTTTCAGGAAATGATTGGGAAAGGGGAAAAAATTGATTCCTAGGAGACGTATATAGTTATAAAGTTTTATTCCTGGGAAACTCTTATCATCATTGACAGGGACATACTTCCATAAAAAGCTTGCCCTTTAAGTAGAAGAATCTTATTATAAAAACACACTTCATGTAGAACAAATTGAAAAGTTAAAAGGACACACTGAAATGAATTTAGAATTACAAAAGATGAAGAATAAAGTTGAACTGAGGGCAAGTTTCTCAAACTTCTAATCCATTCATTGGCTTTTGTAAGTCTTGCACAAATAGGCAAATTCTAAGCAGAACTTCCAATAAAGCTTTGGAATTAGATGCTTGCCAGAAAAACCAGTATACTCTCAGAAATGCGGTTTGTGAGAAATGAACAGTTTTTTCTGTAAAACTAGTTCTGTGAGCTTGCCCAGAACTGATTGGCTAGCACCTAGGACATCACATTTCAGTACATGTAGAAGTTGCATGTGTTTTATCTCTTTTGATTTTAATCATCTTTTAAATTCTTTTAAATACTTGGTTTAGCTGTTTTTCATCAAGAATGTCTATGTTTTACTTTACTTAAATATTTTCTTACAAGTAAGTGGTTTATAGATTTTGATAAATAAACAGGTAAATAAATAAACATCCCTTCAGTGTCTCAGGGAGAGAGAAATCTTTTCCCATCATCTACTACATGAAATCCAAAAGCACGAACAAGGTGGAAATGGGAGGGAATTGAGTTTCACCTAAATCAGCCTTTCCCAATCAGGTGCTCCTGGTTTTGGACCACAACTACCGCTAACCCTGACCATTGCCCATGCTGGATGGTTAGTGGTAATGAGAGGTTGTAGTCCAAAACTCCTAGAGTACATCAAACTGGAGAAGGCCAAGCTAAATATTAGGAAAACATTCCTAATGTTAAGATCTCTTCCACAGTGGAACAGGCTGCCTAGGAGGCTGGGTGGGCTCTCCTTTACTGCTTCAGGCATTTAAGCACCTGGACATCCATCTGTGTCAGGGATGCTGTAGTTTCATCAGGCGCTGCAGATCCTGCATTAAGCAAGGTGTGGGACCAGGCTGCCTAAAAGGCGCCTTTCGTGATTCTGTGATTCCATTTCTAAAACCTACTTCTAAAACGTAATGGAGAAGAATAAACATTTTCGCGGAATATTGTCTTTCTAAATATTTCCTAGCACAAGGAATGCAGAGTGTGTATTGGAAGTAATAGGGCTTAAAACAGGCATAGGCAAACTCGGCCTTCCAGATGTTTTTGAGACTAGTTCCCATCATCCCTGACCACTGGTCCTGTTTGCTAGGGATGATGGGAGTTGTAGTCTCAAAACATCTGGAGGGCTGAGTTTGCCTATGCCTGGCTTAAACAAAACAAAAACTGTCAACGTTTGGTTTTTCTATTTAGAATAGCACATAGACATAGCTATAGTGCCCAGAATTACTGTTTTTTAAAAAGATTTGTTTGGGGAAGAATGCAACAGAACAAAGATGCACTTAGAACTGTTTAAAGTCATGTGGTTGTTTTCTAGGTACGACTTCTGGGTTGATTTCAGTGGGAAAAAGATGAAATCCCAGGCTCTGTGACACTGAGCTGGTATCCCAGGCTCTCTGTCAGGAAGTTCTTAATTCTACCCTAGAAACCACAAAACACTGCATGTTTCTCAAAAATTAGTTTCATTTTGGTTTCTAGAGAGGGGAACAGAGATAGAAAGGATCAAGACAAACAAACAAACAAACAAACAAACCAATCACCCATGATGGATCCACAAACTACCAGTACTACTGAACAGAGCTCATGGCTTTCAGCATTTTGTTTTGCTTATTTAAAGTGTTTCTATTCCGCTTTCCAGTGCACCAAAAATCAAAGTGGTTTATAACAAAATTAAATGCTTTAAAGAGTACTACAATACTGAAATAGATTATTCCAACAGAAGAGCATTTTAAAAGCCAGAAACTCCCATCAATCTAATAAACCAAGGAGAAGGATTTTAGGGAAGTTCTCACCTGGACTTGAAAACGTATGTGGCAGCACCAAGCAAACTTCTCCAGGGAGCAAGTTTGAAAATTTGGGCACCACAACATTAAAAGACCCTCTTCTGGTGTGTTCTGCCCTCACCTCAAACAGCACAGAGACCCAGGAAAAGGCAATTAACAAGAATCCTAATATCTAGGTTTGGATGGGAAAAGTCGCCCTTGTGGTATCCTGGTCCTGAGATGTTTGGGTCTTTTTAGGTAGTTGATCATATGGGAAGAGGTACTTCTAGGACATGATTCACCAGGGTGGCTCGACATTGACTGCAGTATTTGCAATCAGTCCTTCGTTTGAATCAGAAAAGGGGCATATTGTCTTTCCGAAGAAAGTCTGAAGCAGGTCCTAGGAGCTTTCTCTTAATCGTGTACACAAAGCTGACCTATGAAAACCTGGGGGCAAAGGCCCCATATTCACTTTAGATTGGAGCTTAATTTTATTTTAAAAAAATATTTTAATGCATTAAACAAACTTTATTAACATGAAATATATACAATAGTGAAAAAGGAAAAAAATATCAATGTTATAATGGAATAAATTAATCTCACATTTCAAATGCCAACATTTTCATTGTATTTTCCATTCATATCTATTTTTCCATTCATATCTATATATTTTAATAACATGTAGTAGTTCATGCCATTTGACCAAACTGCGGGAGGCAGTGGAAGACAGGAGTGCCTGGCGTGCTCTGGTCCATGGGGTCACGAAGAGTCAGACACGACTAAACAACAACAAAGTTCATGCCAACACCTGAAATATCAAATTCTCTTTTTACCAAAGCTGTTAACTGACTCCAATTGTTTAATTCTTCCTGATAATTAATTCCATTTTTAACATTGTTGAAAATTTTAATCAAGCTCAGTTGCTCTCATATTTTTATGATGGTATCCTGCTTTCTTTGCTTTGACATAGAGCAGCTTTGCAGTGGTCAAAGCCTATAAAATCTGGATCTTATATGAAATTAGAGGCTGACTTTTTACAGAATTTAATTAGCAGATTAGTTGTTCTAACAGTAACTCAGCTTGCCAACTTTCCCTTATAATTTCAACCACGCAATTCCAAAACTGCTTTGCATTAGTGCACCCCCATAACAAAAAACATATATCCCTTTATGGCTTTACAAAACCAACACTTTCCATCTCCAACCTTACTTGTGATCTTTGACTTCCTGTTTTCACTGTTTGGCCACATAAGCAATTGGCTTTTCTCTATGTTTATTTTGAAACCTGCACTCTCCCTGTACTGCTGTAAAACTCTGTGTTATTCTTCAGCTGCTTCTCCAGATAAATCACAATATTGTCTGCAAATAAACCAATATTCCTTTTGGATTCTAATTCCTTTAAATGCCAGATTAAAAGACTGGAGCATAATTTAAAGCAAAGTTGGGGAGCCTGTGGCCTTGCAGATGCTGTTGGACCCCAACTCCTACCTGCCTTGCCAATGGCTGGGGATAATGTTGTATTCCAGCAACATTTGGAGGCCTACAGTTTCTCGAACTCTGAATTAATGGGTATGAACTTTGAGCAACAGTCCAAATCCAACTGGTAGAAGTTGAAGGGAGTGGACATAGATCATGTAATGTGTACTACCTACCAAGGCAGAGGGCTTGGCCAGATTGCTATGGCTGCACAATGGCCTTCTATGGTTGGTGATGGTATTAGTGATTGGCACAAAAGTCAGCCAATCAATGCTATGCAAATTTTGGTTTCTGTTCCAGACAGTAGGCACCACTTCTTTCCAAGCCAGTCAAAAAGATTGAAAGTGTGTCAGAAAAATGACGAGTCCACAATAATCTCATCACTGAAATGCATGTGTGAAAAACATTTTTGTGCACTGAGCAATATCCATGTCAAATGTATGTTATTTACAAAAAAAAGTCATTTTTAGTACTATGATTTCAACACAATCATTCCTTGACTTTGCCTAGAGTTTTATGAAGGACTGACAAGGAGGTCTATCTTAATTGGAAATGAGAGCACTTTAAAGCTTGCCAACGAAGCCTTCCATGCAATAATACAAGGAATGTTGAAAAGGTTTATCTTAATGTCCTTACTATGTTACATTAGACCTTTCAAAACCCCAAGTTAATAAAACACAAGGAGAAGCATAAGTTGTTACTTTAAACTTTATTGCTGCTTGTTGTTATAAAGTGATCTCAGCTTGGACTTTAAATGGGTTTAATTTGTATTTTTGGCATCTGCTATAGCCTTGGGATCACAAGGCCCCACAGTGCTTATCTTCAGAGGTTAACTCGAAACAGACATTCCCATCAGTGCATAGCCTCTTTAGTCAACACTGCAATCCAGCGTGTCTTTCACCTCTCATTATGCCAACCCTACCTGAAGAAGAGGGACAGCCAACAGAGACACAGAACCCCATTTTGCCTTCTCCAATCAAAGTAAGCAACATTTATAAATATGCTATCCTCAGTGACTTCTGACTGCTTTACATTAGCTATCAGTTATTATTTTTTTACTATAATTTGTGCATTGAGTTTGATGAAAATATGCTTTGGCATGTAATTTAGTCTTGTTTCCCCCCTCTGTGACATCACAATATCCTATGCTTTCTCATCACTACCTGAATTTTAATAGCAAGTAGGGGAAAAGAATGGAATGTTGTCAGAACCCAAGGTAAGTTCTACTAGATGGTACAGAAGGAAGAACGAGACATTGGCAGCAGTTCTTGTGATATTTATGACAAGATTATGACCACATCCTATACTGTTTAGCATATTTATCCTAACATTGCAATGTAATTTAACACTGATGAAAAATGGGAATTGATGTAGTGTCATATGGTGTTACTCATTGATCTTTATTCTGGTTCTTAAGACTATTGTTCTTGTCTGAATATTATTATTTGAGGGGCTGGACCATGATTATGTATTTCACCTTTTCTAGTTTGTACTCAGGGCTGCTGCCAGCTTCCTAGCAGAATGGGCTGTTATGACGTTATAGTTTAGAATGCTCTGCAATTTGTTCTGCATGACTTTTTAGCCAATGTTGGCTCTAAAACTAATCCTATTATAAAATACATTGGAATAGCTTTGACTGCTGTGTCCACCCCCCCATATTTATCCATATTATATGACCAGCCCTGGAAGTAGTCCCTGAACAATTAGTGCTGCTTAAGACAATGTATGAATGGCATCCTAGCTGGGGTGAAACAGAAATGGTAGTAGTTGCTACCAAAGTTGGACTGAGCAATGTTTTTTTGGGGGGTTGGGGGGTTAAGAAAAAGATTTAGCCCTATTTGGCATCAGCAGTAAGATCAACCCATGCTTTCTGGTAATATTAACAGCATGTGACACTCCACATTGCACACACAGAGACAACTATGTCAACACAGTTGATGATTTCACAGAGAACTTCCTGACCTTCTAATCTCCCCTCAAAAATATTTTTGATGTTTTGCACATCATTTGGATGACATGCATCAAATGTGTAAAAGAGGGACCTTCTGCTAATATGCAGTACTGAATCAACAAGCGTAATGATTTTCAAGCCTGCTTCTTTAGGATTTATGTTATCAACTGCCCCTTTTTAAAAAAAATAGCAACACAAAACAGATCATCATGTTCTCTTGAGATGTGTTGAAAACTTTAAAGCCAATGTATATCTGGCACGTTCAGTTTTACTTTTATCATTGTCTTTTAAACCTAGGACACAGTATTCTACTCTTTGGATAAAAACATCCGCTGCTTTTCCTTTCAACATCCTAGGAAAATATTGTCAGCAGTGAACTGTGCAGTTATTTGTCATGCATTCTGACACCATTACACATTTGTGCTGAGGGCTAGTTTCCTGATTTAAGATAAACAGCCCACGTGTGTGAGTTCTAGTGATCAGTCTAATGGAAGGCATACAGTATAGGTCAAAGAGATCTTGATTTTGCTCCACCTTGCATGCAGTTGTGTGTCTTTAAAGTGTTATCAGGTACAGAACAACGGTAATTGTTCACTATAAGAAACTAATGCTGTGAGAGCCTGGACACTAGTCTCTTTTTCAGCTGCTGGCTGCTGCTTATTTGAAAGTTCGTTTAGTCAGCAACATCTAAGGGTTTCCTGTTTCCCACAGCATTATGTATTACTACCTAGAAAAAGCCATTATATGTCCTAGTAAAGGTAAAGGGACCCCTGACCATTAGGTCCAGTCGTGACCGACTCTAGGGTTGCGGCGCTCATCTCACTTTATTGGCCGAGGGAGCCGACGTATAGCTTCCGGGTCATGTGGCCAGCATGACTAAGCTGCTTCTGGCGAACCAGAGCAGCGCACAGAAACGCCGTTTACCTTCCCGCCGGAGTGGTACCTATTTATCTACTTTCATTTTGACGTGCTTTCGAACTGCTAGGTTGGCAGGAGCAGGGACCGAGCAACGGGAGCTCACCCCCGTCACAGGTATTCGAACTGCCGACCTTCTGATTGGCAAGCCCTAGGTTCTGTGGTTTAACCCACAGCGCCACCCGCATCCCATTATATGTCCTAGGTAGTATTATAAAAAGGTAAACATTCAGATTGACCCTGCCAGTCCCTACATTCCACAGGAGCAGGCAGAGGATGCCATGGCTGTTTGTGACTCTAGAGGGTGAAGAACAAATGTGCGCTAGAATGGTTGGCCACACCTTGATATTGGGGAGAAATCACTGGATGTACACGGAAGAAGCTCTTATGAAACATGTGCATGCCATAATACCTCAACAACAACAAAATTAAATAAAGATTTTTCAAACAACACACACACACACACCCCTTGCACAGGAGGCAAAGCAAAGAAAGCCATGGTAAAAAAAAAAGGGGGAGTTAACTAATTGCTGTGTAGAATGTAGGACTTACTTCCAGGTGGCCAACTGCACTGAGCTGTTCATGAGAAATTAAAAAAAAAAAGTTTTGTTATCTGGGAAGGCATTTTATACACATACACACACACACACACACCTATTATTACTTCATATTAGTAGTAGTATTATTGGTATTATTAATCTCACTTGTCCAATATGGCAGCTAGTCCTCAATTGTGTTAAAATGGATTTGAAACATCTGGGTTCTTTATAAAGTTGTTCACAAATGCTAATTCATCAAGAATTGTGTATTAGTTGCTCCTGCAATTAGGTAGGGTCTGCATTAGAACATAGGATTTGAATTATGCAGAGCCTGTGAATAAATTAGGCCTAGAATTTCATGTAAAAATGTCATGTTTATTCCATTGCAATTATCCTATGGTATATTTCTATATTCCAAGTTAAATTTTCAAAATATTTTTTTTGTCACAAACCATTCAGGAGTCCCCTGTTGAAGCAGCAACATGCAACACACCTTCTATCGTTCTTCCAGAAAACATAGTCACACCAGATACAGAAAGAGAAAAAAATCTAGCTTTCAGGTAATACATAAATAAGCACACACAATTTGTTTTCTATTCTTCCATAGGTAAATGAGGAACCTGCACAATCCTCATACGTTGTTAGACTCCAACTCCCTTCAGTGCCGGAAAGCATGGCCAATGATTTTTATGGTGCTACATGCTGAGCTCTGTACATCAGGAATGCCTTCTCTGCATCATTTGCTATAAACTGATTTGGCCTTTCTATATGCTTGGTTTGTTTGTTTGCCTCTTGCCTCTATAACTTTGTAGCATTCTAACATATACACAGCTTGTAAGGATAGATCTGAAAGTTCATTCCTCTAGAAAATTATACTGTTGGGTCCAATCTCATGTGGACATTTGTGTAAATCTCTTTTGTAATGAAGTCTAGATTTGAATAATTGGAAACAGAACTGTTGCTCAGGATACATGTAACAAGCAAAGCTTTAAAAAAAAAAAACAAAACCACCAGAGCATGCCGACTTATCCACTTCATGTGGAGCTACTTTGTAGGGTGAGGTGCATGAAACAAAGTACCGTATTTTTCGCCCTATAGGACGCATTTCCCCCCCCCCCTCCAAAAATGAAGGAGAAATCTGTGTGCGTCCTATGGGGCGAATACAGGATTTCGCTGAAGCTTGGAGAGCGAGAGGGGTCGGTGCGCACCGATCCCTCTCGCTCTCCAGGCTTCAGGAAGCTATCCGCAAGCCTGGGGAGCCCGCGGGAGTTCCCGCAGGGTTCCCTAGGCTGCGGATAGCAGCCTGCTGCCCAGCGCGCGGAGCGCCCTGAAGCAGAGCGCCCCGCGCCCCGGGCAGACATCTGTAGCATGGGGAGCCCTGCGGGAACTCCTGCAGGGCTCCCCACGCTGCAGATAGCAGCCTGCCGCCCGGCGCGCAGAGCGCCCTGAAGCAGAGCACCCCGCACGCCGGGCAGACATCCGCAGCGTGGGGAGCCCTGCGGGAGTTCCTGCAGGGCTCCCTAGGCTGCGGATAGCAGCCTGCTGCACAGAGCGCAGGGCGCGCTGAAGCAGAGCGCCCCACGCTTTGGGCAGACATCGGCCAGCCCCACAAGCTCGGGGGACAGCAGGCAGGCGCAGCGCGGCCATCCCGCTGTTCCCCGACCTGGTTTTGGGGGGAAATAAAGGGAAATTTCCCGCCTTTATTTCCCCCCAAAATAGCTAGGTGCATCCTATGGGACAGAGTGTCCTATGGGACAAAAAATACGGTAAATATAGAGGGATTTCAAGAATAACACAATTTAAGTTTTAGAAGACATCTAAAGGCAGCCCTGTTTAGGGAAATTTTTAACATTTGATGTTTTATCGTGTTTTTAATATTCTATTGGGAGTCGCTCAGAGTGGCTGGGGAAACCTAGCCAGATGGGCAGGGTATAAACAATATATTATTATTATTATTATTATTATTATTATTATTATTATTATTATTTATTATATTGGATTTAAAGTAGGAATACATGGGTGTTCTCATGCATGTGGGTTAAATCCTGCAATCTTTGGTTAGAGGATTGAAACTTACGCAATCTTTGAAATAAATATTTCAGCACTGAAACCTTTTGACGACTACATTGCCCCAAAGGAACAGCTGTCTTACCTGGCTGCATGCCCAGTTTCAATACAGCTACCGCTTCCCTGCTCTTCCCCTTCCCCTTCCCCTTCCCTTTTGTGTTCCTCTTTCTCTTTTTTCCTCGTTTTGTTTGCTTGCTTGCATAGTTTTGCTTACTTACCTAGATGAAGACAGAAAACGACTGCCAATGAATTGCCAGAGACCAAATTGCTGACAATAAATAAAATAATTTTCTAACACTTGATTTCAAGTCGGGGGGGGGAGTTAGGTGTATTAGGACTTACTGCTGTTTAAAGATGATGGGAAATTTCAGTGAACTGCTAATTAAAAGAGAAACAACAAACCAGAACTCTTTTTTTTTTTGGAGGGGGGGTTGGAATGTGCCCAATTATCATTCTAGTTTGTCTTATCTTGTACATTCGAGTTACATAGAATGATCCTAAATGAGTAATGGGAGGACATATGTTTGACAACTTTGAGAAGTATACTTCAAGCACTATTTTTATTGTAGCAATGTAGCCATTGGGTTAATTCCTGAACATTCAGTGTAGGCTGGCACACCTTCCCCACTCCCAACCATTCTGACCTACTGACAGAGGTAGCTCAGCTCATATAAATGTATCAGCTAGAGGCTAGTCACAAAATCTCAGCTTGGAATGGAGATGTCAACAGTCAGTCCGTGGCTGCAGTATCTGGCTCCCATCTTGTTCTTAGCATGGCATGGGAAACATTTAACACAACAGAAGTTATTCTTACTAATTAAATGTAGCTGAATTTTCTGGAACAATTATGGCAACATCATTTTTGTTCACACAAAATAAAGCTGAGGTGAATTTAATGAAAAAATTGCATATTCAAGATGAGAGAAGATTTCTTGGGGTTTACACGTGGTGTGAAAATTGATCCTATTTTGCTGGTTTTTGTCCAGCTCCCATACAGGAAGCACTTCTCTCATAACTCTATGGGAAGTCCCAAAGGAGCTATTTCAGTGCAGAGTAGGATGCTGACTTGGCAAGTGTGCCTTTCCAAATTCACATTTGCTAAAGCCCAAACTAGTTTGTGAATTTAATGTGTTGTGTTTTCATTTTAAATGTGTGTGTATTTAGTTTTAATACTTTTATAAACTGATTTATATAATGCTACTTTAGTTTTAATAAAGCTCATTCCGCCCCCTTTTCTTTCCCCCTCCAGACCTGTTAGTCCTCATCTGCGGCATTCTCACAGAAATGCTAGGACATCAGCTAGCTCACTGACATCTGTGGGTAAGAAACACACACACACACACACATATGTTGGCAAAACTTTGAGTATTGCTTGATGAAAATGTGGAGTTGCCTATCTGCCCTGTAGAGATTTTAATGACTGTACCATCGTTCAATATGCAACATTGCAATGGTATGAAAACTTGTTTATACGCTTGATTTAAGATACTCAAACTCTGTACAAGATTTGGTGGAGGGGGAGAGGGGAGAAATGCAAAATAAAATAAAATCTTCAGGCTTCTGATGTCCTAGTGAGCACCGCATGGATCAGTGCAATCCTGCATTTTATCTATCACGGGTTCAAGGGGTTTAGGGCAAAGCTACTTAGGTCTGATTCAATTGCCAGATGTGGAATTCTGCCTTAGGTCAGCTGCTCACACCCAATATGCACTTCTGTGGTTAGCATGACTCCTTGGCAAAGCTGCTATAGCTGCATATACTGTACCATTTAACACAAAGATTGTCATGTGTGGGGAATATAGTGCACCATTGTGTCACCATTGCAGCAAGTTCAAGTTTCATTAGAGCTCAGCTACATCACAGGGTTTCCATAAATTCAGCATTTTACTCAGTGTGTAATTAGATGGCAGTATGTTGAGTAAAATCTGACCTATATAGCACACCAAGAGATGAAAGACTTCAAATGCTGTTACATGATACAGCTGGGTAATTTGGATACTTTTCCATTTAGATAACAGAGGTAATGTAATTGACTTGGTGAATGACCAGCTGCCAGATGTTAAAATATCTGATGAAGATAAAAAGAAGAATCTCGAATTGTTAGAAGAAGCAAAGAGGGTGAGTGAGAGGTTCCTCACACGAAGAGGAAGGAAATCAAGAAGCAGCCTTTCAGAATCTCCCACAGGTACATGTTTTAAAATCCCATACCTTGAAATTAGGGATGCGGGTGGCGCTGTGGTCTAAACCACTGAGCCTCTTAGGCTTGCCGATTGGAAGGTTGGCAGTTCGAATCCCCACAATGGGGTGAGCTCCCGTTGCTCTGTCCCAGCTCCTGCCAACTTAGCAGTTTGAAAGTGTGCCAATGCAAGTAGATAAATAAGTACTGCTGTGGCGGGAAGGTAAACGGTGTTTCCATGTGCTCTGGTTTCTGTCACAGTGTCCCGTTGCGCTGTCTGTGGACAAACACCGGCTCCCTGAGCCTGAAAGCGAGATGAGCGCCGCAACCCCATAGTCTCCTTTGACTGGACTTAACCATCCAGGGGTCCTTTACCTTTACCTTACCTTTATCTTGAAATTATGCAAATGGAACCCAGTGTTAGCCTGTGTGCAATGTGTGTTTTACCATATCAAATTCGCAAAGGTCATTTTAATGTAAGAGGCCTGTGGCACCGTAAAGGCAAATATATATTGTAGCATATAAGGTGCCGAAAGCTTTTTGCCCACTTATTCTTGACATCATTCATAGATTTTAAAGATGCACATGTCTTTCAGCTTTTCCTCATGTTAGCTGTACTTGGACATTCTTCACTCCCATGTCATGGAGTCATGCAAAGTAGCCCAACCCCAACATGCTTCTCTCAGTGTTTGTACATATAGCATTCTCCTGTGACATCACTCAGCAAAGGCATGGTGCCCTGCTCATTATCTGCTGCAGATTTAATTGTCTTCCTACTTAAAACCGGAAAATGAGAACTAACCACTCAGAATAACTATTTATTGTTGTGTATAACTTTAATGCAGCTATATCCCCAGCGCTTAGCCCTAATGTTTCACCTGCTGCCTCTCGGAGCAATTCTTTCACTCTTCCAAGTCCAACAGGTAAAATTAATGTTGCATGTTCAAATTATATACATATTAGTTGAGCAGCCATAGATGTTTGGTCATTATAAGATCTCGTAACATTCCCCGCCCCCCGCCCCCCCCCCCCGAAATGGTAAGCTAGAAATCTTGCTGGGCAAATGAATAGGGAATGTTTTACAGCAAAATGTGATGTAAATATGAGAAGAAGCTTGATGAGATCTAAGCTGTATCTAGTCCAGCACCCAGCAGTGTTCAGACAGATGTTTCTAGGAATCCAGAAAGCAGGGTGTGAAGAGCCCTTTGTCACCCACCAACCCACTCACCCACCCACCCACCCACCCACCAAGAGAGTCTTTCTCTTTGCCCTGCAGGTGCAAACCTGACAGGTTTTAGAGCTGGCCATATGGCCCCATGGCACCTCCCACTTCTAAGGTGGTATTGTTCTGTTAAAAGATTTTTGGCTGTCCTTTAAGACAATGTCCACTCTATCCTATATGAAACAGTTAGATTTTACCTGCCTTATGATAAGTCAGCAGGGTAGAGGCAGTATGAGCTCTCATGGAAGGAAATTCCATGGCAAGGTGGACAATGTGCTGGCAGCTGTATGACCTGTTGACTCATCCACACCCTCTAGGCTTATTAAACCTAGCAGAGGTTTTATTGGTATTTTTAATGTACAGTGGTACCTCACAAGACGAATGCCTCGCAAGACAAAAAACTCGCTAGACGAAAGGGTTTTTTGTTTTTTGAGCTGCTTCGCAAGACGATTTTCCCTATGGGCTTGCTTCGCAAGACGGAAACGTCTTGCAAGTTTGTTTCCTTTTTCTTAATACCGTTAATACAGTTGCGACTTGACTTCGAGGAGCAACTCATAGAACGCGGTGTGGTAGCCTTTTTTGAGGTTTTTAAAGACTTTGGTATTTTTGAAGCTTTTCCAAAACTTTCCTGACACCGTGCTTCGCAAGACGAAAAAAATCGCAAGACAACAAAACTCGCGGAACGAATTAATTTCGTCTCGCGAGGCACCACTGTATATTTTTTGTAAACCGCTTATAGGGTTTAATGATTAAATGGTATATAAATCCTGTTAGGCTGCCATGGGTAAGTCTTCTCATAAGAAGGAATCCCCAGCAGAACCTGATTAGACATTTTTGAAGTACTGGAGAGGCTCATATGGGCTGACACGTTCTATGAAGCAGTAGTGATTATAGCAGAAGTCCTATAAGCTAGGGGTTTGTTGAATTGTTCAGGACTTTTGTTAACAGGAATAGCACTCTTTTCTGCCTGTAGTAGCCATATGGCCACTGAGTTTAGAGCTAACTATGACATGTTACAGTATGTGGTGGAAGTTTCATCACCTGTTTTTCATATTGTAGGTTCTGATATATGCGCATCTGCTTTGGGTTCAGTGCCTCTACTGCAGGTAAGAATGCTCTAATGCTGACTATTGTTGACCACTGTATACAATCAATCAGGATAACAACATATTACCTTGGCTAGAAAATGTGTTTTTGTGTGTGTGTGTGTGTGTGTGTGTGTGTGTGTGTGTTGGGGGGCTTTATCAATGGGGAAACATGTGCTTAACCGGTACTGCATCCCCATATTGTCTCCTAAAAATCATCTCATTACTTTTGGGCCTGAATCTTCCACTGGCTCAGTGTAAATGTTTCTTGAATAAGGACTTTTATATGTGCAATTCTGACTTGTAACAGCTTCTGCTGCTTCTGCTGTTGTGAGCTTAGCATGTCATCTGAGCCAAACTGCAAACATAAGACCAAAACTTGGTTGCAGCTAATGGTTTGTCTGGAGTGAGCCAAACAATAAGCTCAGGATTGAACAACATGCTATTCCAAACTATGGCTTAGCTCAGAGCAGAGAGGCAGCAGGAGAACAAAAGAAAGGAGTGCAGGGGCCACAGTCTCTCCAGGAACCTGCATAGTTGCGCATTTGCACTAATCTATAGTTTGACCTAGTGTTATGTGTAAACAAACTCATTATACTATTTCTTTGATTATTTTTAATTTTTAGAATGCCACAAAAGGATTAACTGATCGAAATGAGAATGATCAAAGAAAACTTTCTCAGGAAAAACCAGTTACACACACAACTGCTTTGGAAAATCCAAAGAAGTTGATGGAACAAAAGGAGAACTTTGATCCACATAAGCCTATGGATAATCTACCCAGATCCTGTACTTCAGGTTATGACACTGGCAGAGTATCTCTAAATACCAGCCCAAGCACCTGTGAAAACAAACTTCAGAAACTAATCCCTAAAAAACCAAAAGAAAATGATTCTCCTTTCCAAGGCCATTTACAAGGACCAGGGATATTTACCATGGACCCAAAGTTAAAGGGATCAGTAGCACCATTACCGAAGGATTCAAAAGTTTCTTGTAAAACAGAACTTAATACACCTGGTTCCCGTCCTCCTCTATTACGAGCTGTGTCCTGGGATCACGCAGAACCTGGTAATATAGAAAAGGTACCTTTTAAATGTCCATCTGAAGATGATAGACACTTTGCCATTAACAATAAACCCAACAACATATCGACTAAACAGTCAGCCTTCAAAGACCTCCAAATACAAGTTCAACCAGTAAGGATGCAGAAATTGACAAAGCTCAGAGAGGTGAGTTGATATAAATTAGCAGGATTTTATTTTAGTCTTTTGTTGTTGTTCCAAAACTGTGTGATATAACAGGATTGGGCTTTGATAAAATAAGAGTAGAACCTTGCATTTTGAAGTATTGGGAAATGAAGAATTGTTTTCTAATTCATTACACCAAGGGCCACATTTCCAAGGTAGAATAAGGTGAGTCAGGGCTTATCTTATTGCTGTGCTTCTAGTTAAGCAAACGTTGAGGTCTTTAGGAAAGAGTCAGCAGCAGAAAGTGAGCATCTCTATCTCAGTGTTTCCCAACCGGTGTTCCGCGGCACAGTAGTGTGCCGCGAGACCTTGCCTGGTGTGCCGTGGGAGGGAGGCGGGCGAGTCGGGCGGCGAGAGGCGGGGCGGCGACGGCGAGGATCCGCGTCGAGCCGGGGGCGGCTCCGCGGTGGTGGTGCCGAGGTTTCTCTCTCCATTCTCCCCTCACACACACACACAGGAAATAACACAGGATCAGCTGACAGGATCCGGCCAATGGGGCGGCGGCGGGGCAGCGCGCGCAAAAGGGAGGAGCGCGAGACAGCGGACGAGGCCGGCATGTCCGGGCAGCAGCAGCAACAGCAGCAGCAGCAACTCCCGGCGACGGCTCCTCAAGCCCCGGGCAACCCTACTCCCTCACCGGCCTCGGCCGCCCTCCTGCTCCACCCGCCGCCGGCCACCTCGGCCCCGCCGCCGCCCCCTCCTCCGCCCGCTATCGCCGCCACCACCACAACAGCCGCCGCCGCCTCAGCTGGGCCCATGCCTGCCGGGAGCGGCGGCGGCAGCAGCAGCAGCAGCGCCCCGGCGCCCTTCCCTCACGGCGGCGACCCGGCCCTGCAGTGGCGTAGCGTGGGGGGTGCAGGGGGGGGCCGGCCGCACCGGGCGCAACATCTGCGGGGGGCGCACTCACAGCTCTCTGCCCCTCCCGAGGTTTCTGGGTTAGCGGAGTCTGTAACCTGAAGCATATGTAACCCGAGGTACCACTGTACTTCCAAGTCAGCGTGCAAGGGATTGCAGGACCGGCGGACTTGGCGGTGGGGGTGGTTGCTGGAGCTTTGTCTGTCCTTTCAGCCCCGCACCCACCGCAGACCCCTTCCTATGCCACTGGTAGCTAGGCGAGGCGGGGGGCACTGGGCGCCACACCTCGGCGCCTGCAGCGTGCCTGAGCCATGCGTCTGCGGGCGAACTGCCCGCAAGCTCCGCTCTGGCCTCTGCCCACCGCCTCAGCCTCCCTACAGCTGAGGGGGAGGCTGCAGCGAGGCTCCACGCAGCGCGCCCTGCCATGGCTCGCCCCCATGGCACTCGCCCCTGGCTGCAGGACGCGCGCGCCACCCCGGGCCCCTGAGCGGCTAGCTGCGCCGCTGCGCTGAGCACAAGGAATACGTCCTCTCCGAGTTCGGCGTCCTCTTCGTGGGCAGCGCGAACCGCATCTCCAGCTTCGGGTGGAACTTTGGCCAGGTAGGGGGAAGCCTTTGGGCGGGGGGGGGGTGGAGACCGGGGTGGGGAGGGGTTAGGAGAGACGCTACCGGCGCCGTCCAGAAATGCCCAGAGCAACTGGAGCTCAGCTACGCGCACACATGCGCCCTCCAAATCCCGTTTCCCACCCCTTTCTCAAAAGAAGAGAGAAAAAATGGGTCCTGGGTGTGAAACCAAAGGACCTTTCCAGCTCCTCCTCAATTCCAGGTGTGGATGGCAATGCCTCGTGTCTCCTCCCCCGCGACCAGAGCACACTTCCTAGGCTGGTTGGACGGTCCCTGGGGGTCTTCGGGTTGCCATATTTTGAAGAGCAAAAAACAGGACACATTTGTCGACTTCTGCTTTTAGCTATGGATCAGTGGCCTAGCGTGGGGGGTGCAGGGGGGGCCGGCCACACCGGGCGCAACATCTGGGGGTTAGTGTTAGGGGGCGCAAATCCACGGGTTAGGGGGCGCAAATTACTTGCATTGCCCCGGGTGCTGACAACCCACGCTACGCCACTGCGGCCCTGAACGAGCAGGAGAAGGAGCTCAAGTGACGCTGCGCGCTGACGTCACAGGGCTGTAATGGTGGTGTGCCTCGAGATTTTTTTCATCAAACAAGTGTGCCTTTGCCCAAAAAAGGTTGGGAAACACTGCTCTATCTCTTGATCATAAGAAACACCTACCACACACAATCTCTTGTCTCAAAAACTTTAACATTACTTCCTTTTCATTAAGCTTATCTACTGGATTGTGAGAGCTAGGCACTTTTTTTTTTTAATGGGGAAGAAGCACAGAGATCTTTTGAACATTGTCACCACAGTTCATGGACCTCCTTTTAGGCACATATAAAAAGTATACAGGACACTGTGACTGAATATTTTGATTATCAGTTGGATTGAGGGGGTGCTGTTTCTCTGGATTTATTTTTAATTTTTGGTAAATTCATTTATTAAAATGTGTTCCAACTCTACACCAGAATTACATATCTAAATTGACACATTCTTTTTCCTGTATAATTAGTTTTTCAACTGTGCAGCTTTGATGTTAAATTAGAAAGCAGCCTTTTGCCTTTTAGTGAAACAAAAGCTTACCGCTTAAAGGTGATTGTAAAATACGGTGCAGAGGTACTTCGGTCTCTAATAAAGTATGCAATATGTAAACAGGAAGAAGCTGATGAACTGTCCTGTCATCTTTCAAAGTAGTATTTAGGAATTAAATAAGCTACTTTTGGTCTTTTAGGAGATTTCTTCACATCCAGAAAAAACCTTTCCTTCCTGAAGCTATATCAACAAATCATCTTAAACATTGCTTCAAGTGTTTCTGCTGTTCATGTGGTTCCTTTTCTTTTGTGTCTTGTTTCTTGCTGCTTTCAACACTTCTTTCCCAGGACATCACATCACATTGTTATCTGCAGGCCTCAAGACAACTGGTTACTTCTGTGTAGCTCAAATGGTCTACACGCATAAAGGGGAAAAGAAATTCAGGCAGAACTGTGACGAGAGAGCTAAAAGTCCATTTTGGGGCCTATGCTCTGGCAGCAAAGAAGCAATAGTTTTCCTGACTCTGATACAATGTTGGCAGTTTATTAACTGGATCAAATGAAATAGAGTAGAGAAGAAGAGAAGTCTGTTTCCAGCAAGAAACTCTCTCATAGGATTCAGAAATATATTTTTAAAAGTTTTATTTTCATAAAATGTGTTTATTTTCACCAGGAGATAAGATATAGTTTATATAAGCACAAGTAATTATACAGTATTCAGTATTCCTTGGCATACACCAGATTCTACAGCAGTGCATCACAAAAGTCTTCAAATTCTCAATGAGCGTAGATTCTTGGTTTTCTCAAATCTTGCCAAGCACTTTTTGGAGCCACTCATCTGTTGTTGAGTAATTGATGATAATAAAATGGAAGTCGTGTTGGGTGGAATCTATACACATATAAAAACCGTCCTGAAAATGCTTTTTTTAAAAAGCGTTGTTAAAAAATACATTAAATTTTCCATAAGACTCGCCATCTCCATCTAGTGTCACATTTTATATTGCACTTAAAACACACTTTTAAGACGTTTTGTTTGCAGCTGTATAGCGGAGTCCTTGGTCAGCATTTCATCTACCTAGAGTTTAACCTCTAATGGATAGGATTTCACTCCTCTAAAGGGATAGGTTTCAGTTTTGTCCATGCAGGTAGGTTTTTTTTTTCATGAGCCAAGGATGGTAAACTTGCTGTAACTCCCTCTGGACGTGGGGGAAAAGCTTGGCTACAGTGATCGGCACTCCTGGTAACTTCCAGCCTAGATTACAGTAATATGTTGCATGTGGAACTGCCTCTAAAGTTAGTTTAGAACATGGCCACTAGGCTGCTGTCTAGGACCATGAATAAATTTCACCAGTTCAGAGTGCTCACTTTTAAGGCTCTGTGCTGCTTAGGACCAGAGCATCTGGAGGACTGTATCCTCCCAACATAAGCCTGCCCATACACTCAGGCCATCTTCTCCAAGTGCCCTCACTATTTGAGGTGAGGTGGGTAGTGATTGAATGAAAAGCTCTTTTGGTTGTGGTACCCTTTTATCTGGTGTGCTTGCCTGGTATAGTGGTACCTTGGTTTAAGAACAGCTTAGTTTATGAACAACTTGGATTAAGAACGCTGCAAACCCGGAAGTAGGTGTTTTGGTTTGTGAACTTTGCCTTGGAAGCTGAACATGTTCCGCTTCCTGTTGAGTGTGTTCTATTTGTCAGTTGAGTCCCCCACTGCTATGGGAAAGCACACCTTGGTTTAAGAACGCTTTGGTTTCAGAATGGATTTCTGGAACGGATTAAGTTAGTAAACCAAGGTACCACTGTATTGGGTTGGATCCCTATACTTAGTCATACTTATGATAGATCCATTAAGATCAATGGGACTAAAGTTAACTTAAATCCCATTTGAGTAATTACTCTAAGCATGACTAAGTCTAAATGCATTGTTTCTAGATTTGGTGACTGGAAATTTGTTATGCTAAAGGATGCAATGTAAATTTATTGGTGACGTTGCAAAACCCAACGACTTGATTACTACCATCTTTGCCAATGTACTATATAATTATATCACTGAGCTTGTTATTTCTTGTGAAGAATTAATGCAGTTCTTTCCTACCTAATCAGGAGCACATATTGATGCGGAATCAAAATTTAATTGGACTTAAGCTCCCTGACCTAAGTGAAGCTGCTGAACAGGAGAGAGGTGAAATATGATAAAATTTGATGGGAAATGTACTTGTGGTTAGGAGGGAGGAGGCCACAACAGTGGGGTTTTTTTTAACAGACTGAGGCCTCTTGCTAGAATACACCACTGAAGACCACGCCATATGTGACTTCTTGTGTGGGGATGGGAGCGAAAAGAGCACATTGTTGCATGTGGAAATTATTGCATCCTTCACAATGGATCCTGTTTAGTACAATGTGCTTGTAATCTTGGCCTTTTTGAAGTCAGGAAAACTATTGTCAACAGACACTGGCAATATTAGTTGTATCCCAGTTGCCACTTTCCAGACAGAGGAAAGTTGGTTCCACTTAATTATTGATAAGACAGTATTGAAATGCTAGGTGACAAGCACATTGAATAGCTGAATTTTACCTTCAGTTAGTAGTGCCTTTGCTGAATTTTCTGATTAGCTCTATTCCCATACTGGTTTCTTATGGCAGAATGTGGAATATACCTTTTCTTCATCCCCTTCAAACATTAGGCCAGGGGCAGATCTTGGGGTCTCAGATTTCAATGACGCCCTGTGCAATGCCAAAATTTGGCACCCCCTCACTCCGTTGTAAATCATAGTTGCTATGCCCCCTGTGGCATCCCTGAGGCTCCATGCCCAATTCAACCAAAACAGTCGTGCTCCCCTAAATCCACCTCTGATTAGGCCCATCAGAGTACGAAGTTTAGTAATGTGTTAAACTACTTTAGCTCACAATGCATTACTGAAGCAATAGAATAGTAGTAGCAATAGTAGAGAAGTAGTGGTGTTGGCAATCATGATAATGTTAATAATTTTTTTAAAGTTCTGAACTCTTCTTCAGGGTCTTCACCAGTGCCTTTCTCATCAGAGGAGGAAGAGGCGAAAAGTAGATGTGAGGTGATGCCCAACATTCCTGACACGCTTTTACGAAAACTCCGTGTGCACACCTCTCTTCCAGGAAGGTAAACCACTCTGTGCTGACTGTCACCCAAATGCTTTGTGGAAGAGATACTTAAGTGCATTAGATTCAAAAAGGCAATGTGTAGGTGTTCTCCCTCCTTTTATGCCTACTACATGGTGTAGTAGTTAGTGCTGGACTACAGTGGTGGATATTCAAGTCCCAAGTAAGCTCTGAAACTCCAGTTGCGCTCTCCCAGCCTGACCTACTTCACAGGGTTGTTGTAATGATAAAATGTGGGGAAAGTTACATATCCCACCCTGAGTTCATCTAAGGAAAGTGGGATAGAGATCTAACAAATAAGAAAACTATGCATTTGAATTAAAAAGGTAAAGGTAAAGGTAAAGGTACCCCTGCCCATACGGGCCAGTCTTGACAGACTCTAGGGTTGTGCGCCCATCTCACTCAAGAGGCCGGGGGCCAGCGCTGTCCAGAGACACTTCTGGGTCACGTGGCCAGCGTGACATCACTGCTCTGGCGAGCCAGAGCTGCACACGGAAACGCCATTTACCTTCCCGCTAGAAAGCGGTCCCTATTTATCTACTTGCACCCGGAGGTGCTTTCGAACTGCTAGGTTGGCAGGCGCTGGGACCAAGCAGCGGGAGCGCACCCCGCCGCGGGGATTCGAACCACCGACCTTTCGATCGGCAAGCCCTAGGCACTGAGGCTTTTACCCACAGCGCCACCCGCGTCCCTGCATTTGAATTAGTATTATCTAAATTGTAATGCAAAGTTGTAATCAGAAACTAACTAAAGCTATACTTTACTTAGGATAGGTTATTTAGGATACCTTCTGTTGGGAATGAGTTGATGTGCTTTTAAAAGTTTTGTAGCAAGGAAAATTTCCGTTAAGCAGAAATTATACTTGGTCAAGTAGCTCAAAATATAAATGACCTTGCATTATGACTGTATGCTTAATGAGTCTTTCTGGCCAAATTAAGGAAATTATATTTCCTCTTCACTTCAGTCTTTGTAAGAAACAAGACCACAGTATATTAGGCCTGCCAACTTCTTCAGAATTGTGTTATCTTTTACACCAATACAGGAAGTGAAGCAGCCTTTGTGGTGTTTATATAGCACAATGCTGTGACAATAAATTAACATTATAAAAACATTACCTTGGATCTTGAGAGTCTAATAATTTTGCATTTGCCAAGGAACATACAGCACACTTAGGACCAAAGTAGACCTGCATTTAATACATTGTAAGCAGCTGCATATCTTGTTTTTCCTTATCTAAGTACAGTAGTAGGGAAGCCTGATGCTCACTGTGAAGTGAGGCTTATTCCCCTGCCATTCTTATCTCACCGGGGAAGTAATCACCCAATGCCCCAGGGCTAGGGCCGTAGGAAAATCCACCATATGCACCAGTGGTGCCTCTATGATTCCTAATGACATTTTTTCTGCGCTGGCAAACTTTATAACTTAGTTTCCCATCTTATTGCAGCTCTCCTCCGCTTACTGAGAGAGAGGTTGAGGTAAGTCTCCTTTTGTTTTTGTTTTTTACTGTAAAATGCTTGAAGGCTCTTTGTCATCATATTTTGTGTGCAACATACTACCAAGCAACATTTTGTAGATAACTTTTCCATGGCTTCCCTCAAGACATTCTTTGAAGAAAATCTAATCCAAACTGGAGTCAGAAGGGTCATTATTTTTAACTCAAACATAAAAATTCCATTTTAAAAAATCAGCAAAATGGACAAAACTAAAATAAGGAGCAGAGCCAGCAGTCTTCATCAAAGCTATCCCAATCAGGGGATAAGACAGTCTTCAATAAGACAGCCTTCACTAAATATCAGAAATCACTATAGGGGGGTCTGGTGAACCTCTGGCAGTAGCTGGGCCTCTTTGAAAGACCTTGGAGGGCAGGCCGAATCATGGATCATAATCTCATGAATTGTTGATGGTTACCACTATTTATTTATTTGAAACATTTCTGTACCACTTAATTATTCATATTTATAAGTGGTATCTATAAAAAAAATTCATAGAAAATAAGAAAATAAAACAATAACAATTTATCGTAAAGCCAAACTGGTATTCACTGCTGTTCTTCCTACCATGTTGTCATAGAAATGGTGTCTGGATAAGACAGAGAGCAATTTTTAAAAGCTGTAGGAAGTAGCAAGGAATGTTAATGTTCTTCTTGGAGTGCCATTCTTCTCCATTTGCTTTGCTGTTCTAGGTTCTTGGCATCCATCAAGGAGCCCCATATAAATTATGTTATGTTATGTAAAAGGTTTTATGTCTGTGTTGATAATTTTACTGTCCGGTGTTTCTAACACCTGTTTTTATTAATTTATAATGAATATTTCCTACTATCCAATAAACTGCTTAGAGATATATTTTTTATTTAAGTGATAGCTAAATCTTGCTAAATAAATAATGAATAAAGCTTTAGAAGTTATAGTTGTGGTCAGGAGTAAAGGGACTGAACTCATATGTTACTACTTCAAGCACTGATTTCACATTGGTCTGTGTAATGCCTGTGGTCTCAGTACAGCCTTGGACTGTGTGAAATGAATGTGCTTGCCTGCGGAGTAACTTCAGCCTAGTCTTCCAAGCTGGAGAATATGAATCGAGGTGGATTTGACACTTCTCTTTGTGGAAATTAATTCCTACTAGTGTATGGAACGGTCTCCCACGGGAGATTTTGGACTTTCCTTCCTTGGAGGTTTTTAAGCAGAGGTTGGATCGCCGTCTGTCATGGATGCTTTAGCTGAGATTCCTGCATTGCAGGGGGCTGGACTAGAAGACCCTTCAGGTGCCTTCCAACCCTACAGTTCTATGATTCTATGAGTCAACTTTATGCAAAAACAATTTCCCCCTTTTATACATGGATATGACTGGTAAACAGAATTCAACGAGGCCTTTCTTTTCCCTCCCTCAACAGAATGTGTTTGTACAACTTTCATTGGCTTTCAGAAATGATAGTTATACATTGGAATCAAGAATTAACCAGGCTGAGAGGGAGAGGAATCTTGCTGAGGAGAACACAGAGAAGGAACTGGATCATTTTAAAGTTGCTATTACGGTAAGAGGATCATGGTGAACATTCACTGCAGTTTACGCTTGTTAGAATTCAGTGAATTTTGGTAGGTATTTTGAAGGCTGCTGCCAAATATCTCCCCTAATCCTATGTTATCATTAACTGTTCAGTACTCATATTGATGATCAGCCAACTTAAATCTCTAAAATGGCCACATTTCAATTCTGTGCCATAATCTATAATTTCTTGTTCTGCAGTAGGTTGATTTTTGCAGTACGTGGAACTGAATGTTGCAAAAATAATGTACTCTTGGAACTGCAGCTATACCTTGGTTATCAAACAGCTTAGTTGTCGACAAATTGGCTCCCGAACACTGCAAACCCGGAAGTAAGTGTTCTGGTTTGCAAACGTTTTTTGGAAACCGAATTTCCGACGCGGCTTCTGCTTGTGTGCAGGAAGCTCCTGCAGCCAACCGGAAGCCGCACCATGGTTTTTGAATGGTTTCGGGAGTTGAACAGACTCTCAGAATAGATTAAGTTCGAGAACCAAGGTACCACTGTGCTTTTTTAACAAAACAAAAGAAGCATATTGTTTAGGTGTAAAATACCAGACATCACAGGGGGGGGGCTACCTTGTGGCCCTCCATAAGTTGTTGGACTCTAACTCCCATCAGCCCCATCCATCAGTAGCAGTGCAACAGTTTCTGGAGGGTCACAGGTTATCCGCCTGCTTCACAGTAAGTCAGTTAGAAGCATACACTGTTGCGAATTCTTTGCGGCGCTTTAGCACAAGTGCTCAGAGTTCCAGGTTCTTCAGTGCAGTATTATTTATTGTGAGCTATATATACAAATATCTACAGAAGCAGTTCATACAGTCAGACAGAGTACCTGGCTGCACCTTAAGGCAAATAGGGAGACTCTTTCTCTCTGACCACACTCCTCTACACCACCACCTTACTGCTGGACAGGTTTCCCTTTTAAACCGATGACAGCCAATCAACTGTCAGCACACTACTGCTGAGTCATTCTGACCCAGCACCTCCATAGAAAGTATTGCAGGCTGATTGCATCAGCTAGCAAACTCAAGCCTGCAGACTTACTATCTTACACAGCATTCTGTGATCCCAACATACACTTCTAAGTCAGATTGTTCTACAGAGTTCAGACTCAAGGTCCCTATGTCATGGAGCTCAGATCTCTTCTTCAGTCTCCTTTTCTGTACTCGCCATTCCTTCTACTTTGAGTTTCAGTGCTGTTTGAGAGGGAAAAGCAGTGAATGTGCTAGATGAAAGCAGCAGACTTCTGCTACATAGTTTACCATTTATTGCAGAGAGGTTTGGCATCATGATTGCATATGTTGTTTATGCATCAATCCTGCAGTATTTCCTGGAGTTCCCATCCTAAACATGGAGGAGGTAGTTGCTGTTCTTTACTATTTATGTTCCTGGGCAGGGAACTGCTGAATGCTTGACATCATACATTGAAGAATGTGTAATCTCATGCCTAAAAAATGCCCTAAGTAAATGCACCTAAAGATAGAGGAAGCAAGGAGCGAGGAATTTCTGCAGGAAGTCCATAAATCTATTTATAATCGTTTATGTATACATCTTTTATACTGGTATCTTTCAGAGGAAGAGTGGGCAAAGCAGTTCTTATTTGTTCATGCATTTCTTTCTCAGGTAAAAACTGATTCAAACATGAAATATTTGCAGCCCAATCCAAGCATGTTTGCTTGGGAGTAGAACCCATTGGGCTTGGTGTGTCTGGGATTGCAGACTTAGCTACAATGGAAGCTGCACTCCTGCACATGCTTGCCTATGGGTAAGCTCCACTGGACATTGTAGGGCTGAAATGTGGATAGATAAGTATGCAATTGTGCTGCAAAATAGATGTAGTAGAGACTGATGTCATGGTGCAATGCTAATTCACACATTTTCACAATATGGGAATTACTCTTGTCGGGAATTACATGAAAGAGGTTGCTTTTCTAAAACAATTTGCATCAAAGTGCAATGTCATCTAAGAAGTATGCTTCCTTTCTGGTACTGGACTTTTCACCCACACTGACTTCTTTCCTCCCATTCAGCCTGAAAATTGTTTGGCTTCTGTGTTTGATTTCTCATTTAAATGGGAAATCTGATGTGTAAATCTCGTGTTTATCAATCAAGGGCTATGTTTCTTGGATGTATATCTGAAGCTGACTCATGTTCAGGAGCGCAGCACTTTTAGAGTTGGATGTACTATACTGAAACTACGGTTGTCATACATCCGGAATTTCCTGGACATAGCCGGTATTCAGCCCTTGTAAACAGCGTCCTGGCGGAAATTGCTGAAATGTCCGGACATATGGCAGCCCATGTCGGTAGTTTAGATGTTGGCAAATTTTATTAAAAAAATAGCTCCACAACTCATTTTTTTATTTTTGAGATTTTGCAAAAACAACTCAACATCTTTGGGCAAAACTAAAAACGCTCATCAACAACTTTTGTGTCCAGATTTTCACTTTTTAAAATGTGGCAACCCTATTGAAACTCACGCAGCAGGATTCACTTTCCGTATCTCCAATTTCCAATAGTAGAAAATTGCTGTTCTACTTGTTGAGCTGCTTCTTCCATGAGGTGAGGAACACTGCCACTGCCCTATTTGTTTTGTGATGAAAATACTCTTATCAATGGAAAAATGTAGAAAGAGCCCACTGCTGGACCTAACCAAGTATCAAACTTTGAAAAAGGAGAGGTTGGAGGTGATTACAATGTAGCAGAAGCCCTTCTTACTTTCTAATTTGCTTATCACAATCATTATTCTACCTCTGGTTAACCAGATAAACCAAACTGTAGGCTGGTATGCACATGATTTTGATGGACTGCATCTCAAATGCAAAATCAGTCATAAGACTCGCCAAGAAGGGTAGCACAATGAAGAAACTGAAGATGAACTAATTGAGGATTGTAATGTTTACAAGATTTTCCACTGGAATTTTAAAGCCCCATTGAAGGATTATCTGTGCTTTTAAATAAAAATAAAAATGAACAAATCTTTGCTTGCAGTCAACTTTTCATTACTCTTCATTATTTAGAGAGCTGTAAGATTAACAAAGCACAAATAGTATCTTGCCTTAACCAACAAACAATTTGTAGATCATAATAAACTTTTTTATCTTACAAGGGCAAAAACCCACTCTTTAAAGCTGAAACACAACAAATGGCATTCAGGTTTTCAGTGGATTGTCCTTTGCTCCGATTCAGCTTTAAAGAGTGGGTGTTCATGGGGATAGCTCTGGAGCAAAAAAAGAGAGTGCTTGGACAGAGAGCTTTAAAGGATGGGCTATGCCTGGAAAGGTGAGTGTGGGTAAGCCCTTGTTTCATGATAGCATGAAGTTTGATTCTTTGTAGTCAAGAGGTGTAATGATATCTAGAATATAAGACCTTGATTTGATATCTGTAGTGGAATTTCAAGCCTTGTTTAGGTTATGGAAACTGTAAGTAGCTATACAACAGAGGGACCTTTTTATGTTTGTTGTGCAAGAACTTTATATAGTTTTAATGGACCCAAGGGACAACAAAGGTGGACAACCCTTGAACTGTAAAACCACAATGACTTCATTTGCTATACATGCTCCTTGATTTGATACATTAGTGCATGCTCTTGCTTCAGTCTTCAGCTTCCTTGTGGCATCATTCTGAGCACAGAGACATGTACCAGAGATTGTTGGAGGACATGGCAGTGCTGCATCGTCTGGCCTCTAGATTATCTAGTCGAGCGGAAATGGTTGGAGCTGTTCGCCAGGTAAGACTCTTGGAATCAAATACCCTGCATTGGCTCAGACTTCACTACTTGAAAAAATAAGGTTTTGTAGGAAGCGTTGGCTATAGTCAGGAGAGACAAACAAGGTCCTAAAGCAGAGTTAGAAATCTCATACCCTAAGGCTGAATGTGGCCCTCCGGGCACGCCTCTCTGGCCCTTGGGACTCTCCCTGGGCCACACACCCTCTTCTTGTGGAACAGCCTTCACTGACCCTGCTCCACAACTGCTTGAGGCGCTTTTGTCTGGCTGGAATGGGTTATCAAACTGTGACCATGCCTCTTGCTTGCCTGGACAGAGGATAGAGAGAGGTCCATTGAAGTCTGACCAACTGCAACTCCCTAAGGTTTCAGGTAGATATTTTGTGAGACTTTCTAAAGATCCTTTTAATTGCAGATGCCAAAGACTGAACAAAGGACTTTCTATGTGCATAGCATATCCTTTACCACTGAGCTGTGGGTCTCTGCCCTCTGGCTCTCTAAAACCATTGTTTCAAAAGCTAGCTGAAGATCTGGAATTGGAGCTGAAGTGTAGGTGGCAAGGCAAGACACAGTGATAACAGCAAGAACCTTTATGGAACTCACAGAACTGGCCAACAGGGGCAAAGCAACTGCTTATATACATTTCTGAAGGCCTGGGCCACTCCCACTCCCAGTGTGATTGGCTGTCTAAACTTCCAAGCTGCAAATCATGACTAAGAGTTTAAGGGCCAATGGCAGAGGCCCAAATCTTGAAATGTTCTGTGATTGGATATCATGTATTGAATCAGAACACAGGGGCTCAGAATTCTTAGTCCAGACTCAAGCTCAGGCAAGCATAGACCACTGAATACATAACAGGAGCCACTTAGGAAATTATTGCTAGAGGTGTGTCTGTGCAGTTTCCTCAGGAATTTCCCTTTAAACTGATCTCAAGCCATACTTCCAAATTACTACTTTGGTTCAGGAGTTTGCTCTACCCAGAGCAGCCCAATGAGAGGGAATTAGCAGTCATAGGAAATAATGCCCCAATGAGGTAGGGTATCCTGACATCCTGCAGAGGAGCCCATAGGGCAAGGTAACAAAGTAGGTTGGTTGCTTGCAGCACCAAAAATAGTTCCCTTGAGTTCTATCTTTAGTCACTTCTTCCTACGTAAAGGTAGGACCACACCTCTGCCTTTGTACTGTAGCCAGATAATATGATGGTGTTGTATTGCCGTATTTATTTGAGTCTAATGCATCATTGAATCTAATGCAGTGTTTCCCAACCGGTGTTCCGCGGCACATTAGTGTGCCGCGAGACCTTGCCTGGTGTGCCGTGGGAGGGAGGCGGGCGAGTCGGGCGGCGAGAGGCGGGGCGGCGGCGGCGAGGATCCGCGTCGAGCCGGGGGCGGCTCCGCGGTGGTGGTGCCGAGGTTTCTCTCTCCATTCTCCCCTCACACACACACACACAGGAAATAACACAGGATCAGCTGACAGGACCCGGCCAATGGGGCGGCGGCGGGGCAGCGCGCGCAAAAGGGAGGAGCGCGAGACAGCGGACAAGGAGGAGGCCGGCATGTCCGGGCAGCAGCAGCAACAGCAGCAGCAGCAACTCCCGGCGACAGCTCCTCAAGCCCCGGGCAACCCTACTCCCTCACCGGCCTCGGCCGCCCTCCTGCTCCACCCGCCGCCGCCTCCCCCGTCGCCGCCGGCCACCTCGGCCCCGCCGCCGCCGCCCCCTCCTCCGCCCGCTATCGCCGCCACCACCACAACAGCCGCCGCCGCCTCAGCTGGGCCCATGCCTGCCCAAAGGAATCTCCATCTCCACAACCCCACTGAGTTTCAGGGCTCTGCCTGGGGATCCCCCTCCATCCTAACAGCAGCAGGAATAAGGCAGTTTGGGACATGCGCTTTTTAAAGAATGGGCTGCCTGAGAAAGACCCTTTTGCCTCCAATGTCATAGACAAGAAAGCCGGACTGTTCCCTCCTAAAGACCACTTTGCTCAGTGTGATTCGCTCTCAAGAATCCAGGCATAGGACAACAGTCTTGGGTATCTTTCTTGGAGAAAATCGTGTGAGGTCTGGTACTGGCAGTCAGAAAATATGACTTGGTCTTTGTGTGTGGAGCTTGTGCAGAGTGTGGGGCGATGGGCACCCTTGCTGTGTGTGTGTGTGTGTGTGTGTGTGTGCATGCGCGCACATGTGTACACTTGTATAGCTGTGACTTGTGTCCCCTTCTCCCTGCTGTGTCCTTTTATGGCTAATAGACATGCCAGCCTCCCATGCCATTGGAGATGGCTGCCATTCTCAGAGACAACTGCAGCTCTTCCACTCACTCCCATTTAAAAACTTAATGTTCGGTATTTGGGTTTTCTCTCAGAATTAATTACTGTGATAGGAAGCTGCTTTTTAAAGGGCTCCCCCCCAATCTTCTCTGTGGGGGACCCAGATCCTGAATGAGATCAGAGGAGAAGCAGGGGCAGAGCCCCCTTTGGGTGGGGAGATGAGCTCCCACCCCAGTCCAGGGACAGGTCTCCCTGCCCACGTCCTGCTGGGAACCTTGGAAGCTGCCGAATTCCAAGTCAGAGCCCTGCTCCATCCGGTTCAGTACTGTCCGCACTGACTGGCAGCAGCTCTCCAGGGTTTCAGGCAAGGTCCATGTGCAGCCCTTGCGCCATTGCGGATTGGATCTGGGCTCCACATGTGGAGCGGGTGCTCTGTCCCTGAACTATGGCCCCTCTCAGATCAATGAGGCAAAAAGTCGGCTGGGGCAGAAAATATTTGACACATTTAAATGAAGCAACATTTCATTGCTTGAAACTGGTAGACTTCAACCTTGGCTTTTGCTTTTGACAGATGCTTGTTAAAAGCTCAGCTCTTGGCCTTTGTAACTGAGCAGAGGCAGACCTGCCTGGCTGGCCATCCTCATAGGAGGACGGTGGTTCCAGGAAGGGCAGCCCCCCACCTCTGTGGCAGGACACAGAAAGGGGGGGGTCATCTCTTGAGGGCAGTGCTCTGCACCAGTCGTGAAGAGACTCGTGAGCTGAGCCCAGAAGCTCCCTCTAACCCCAGCAGTCCCTCCTTGAGGACCTTGGCCGGCCTCTCCGTTTGGTCCCCCCGTGAGGCCAGGCCCCTCGGCCTTGGCTGCCTGGAGAGGCATCACGGCCAGCATGTCTCTCTGGGTGGCGGCAACCGTCTCTTCCAGACCACAAGAGAAACTATGTGTGGCCTAGCCCTGACGCAACCTGCTAAGCCACCTTTTCCATTTGAAAAGCCCCTCCTCCGCCCGCTATCGCCGCCACCACCACAACAGCCGCCGCCGCCTCAGCTGGGCCCATGCCTGCCGGGAGCGGCGGCGGCAGCAGCAGCAGCAGCGCCCCGGCGCCCTTCCCTCACGGCGGCGACCCGGCCCTGAACGAGCAGGAGAAGGAGCTCGTGCGTCCCTCCCGGCGTGACGCTGCGCGCTGACGTCACGGGGCTGTAATGGTGGTGTGCCTCGAGATTTTTTTCATCAAACAAGTGTGCCTTTGCCCAAAAAAGGTTGGGAAACACTGATCTAATGTGCACGTCAATTTTCAAAATCTTAAAACCAAAAAAAAATGTTTGCTGGAGAATGTAAATGTGTCATCAAATCTAATGCACACCTTAATTTTTGCAGCATAATTTGGCCAAAAAGGGTGAGCATTAGATTCAGGCATTCTTCTAGCTTGATCCTCTTAGCCACTCACTTATTAGTGGGTGTTAAGATGTATCTGAAGGTTAGTGGTAGGGTCTCTTTATGAGTAAAATCTCAGTCTTGCTAAAAGCTGAGATGATGTCATGCATTTCTTGTTGAAAACATATTTCTGTGCGATGCTTGATCTCCTCCTTTCAGGAGAAGCGCATGTCAAAGGCCACTGAAGTTATGATGCAGTATGTGGAGAACTTGAAGAGAACATATGAAAAAGATCACGCTGAGCTCATGGAGTATAAGAAACTCGCCAATCAAAATTCTAGCAGAAGTTATGGCTCACCTGGTAAAATAGTCTCTTCTTCCCCACCACACAATATTTTAAAGCATGTCTTTATTGCTGTTGAACTCATAGTTGACGACTCTCAAATCTACATAGATATAAAAGCAGATTATCAAGGTATTTTACAGAATATAATTAATTACAGCAGTTGAACAAAGTTGTGTATCTCGATTGTTTTTACGTATTTCCTTTAAATCTGTGCACAATATTCTATTAAAGAACAAAAGTTAGAAAATCTGATAATAGATAGTAATGTACTGAATTGAACATTTCCCAAATTTCTGCACTTGTAACAAAAAGAGACATACGTCCTAGTCTTAGATAATATACTGTTTTGCTTTAAAAGCACATTTGTTCCAATATAAAAAATTTCTTACTATTTTAGTGCTGGCAATGCATGTCTGTTTTCAAACACTAATTCTTATTCTTACTTTTGTTGGCTTTTTTTTTACTATGGTACAGAAGATGGTGTGCCCCGTACATCAAGATCCATGTCTCTTTCTGTTGGAAAGGTACTCTTCCAAGTTTTAAAAAGCTTTAGTTTAATAAGTGTTTTTTTAAAAAAACACCCCAGCGACTTAGATTCTCCATGTACTCCAAACAACTTGCTCATTTTTCTTTCTTTTTTCCAAGCACTTCCAAAATATTTTCCCCCAGCTTGAAACGTAACTTTCAGGAAACCAGTTCACAAATAAAAGCTGCTGTTGCAGTAGAAAGTCAACAGGGAGGCAAATAGCAGTAGAAGTCAGGATTTTCTGAGGAGAACTGGCACAAAGCTTGAATCAGAATTGGGACCCGGCATGGCTGCTTTTCTTTCAAAACAAAAGCATGTTGTTGTTGTTGTTGTTGTTGTTTAAAAAAGGATGTGGAGCATAATATGTAGTTTGGCCTTTAGAAATCCATCAAACTAAGGTTACAGTCATAGACACACTTACTGGGGAGCAAGTCCTACTGAATGGAATGTAACTTGCATCTGAGTAAACACACATAGGCTTGTGCCATGCACCACATGCAAACTTTGGTGTTTCAGGCTTCTTAGGATTTAATGCTGCAGGGTTCCTTTTTGTAACTGGCATACAACTGGTATGCAAATGGGCATACTACAAAACTACAGTAACAATTCTTCATTAGTTATCTACATTAGAATAGAATTAGGGTGAAATTCAGTTATATCCACACACTTGCACAGTGGGACTTACAGTTTCTCTCCTTCCCCGCTCCAGCCCCCTGCGTGTCCCAAAATCTGCTCCAGAGGGTATCCCCCAACCCTTCAGAGCAGATCTTTTTGAGCACGTGGGATTTGCAAGGGGAAGGAGGGGAAGGAAAAGCTCAGCTACATAAGTGGCTGCTCGTTCACACTCATTTTTATTTATTTATTTTTAAAAACATTTTATTTTCAAATTTTATAATCACAATATTTTATAAGTTCAATACAGTACTTTTCCAAAGATACAATATAGACTCCCCCCCCACTGCCTCTCCCCTGGATTTCAGTTTTCTATTTTCTGCCCCCCTGATCTCTTGCAGCTTATTTTATTTCTCCAAACTCTTTGTTTCCCCTCTTATTCATCCTAATTTCCAATTATATGCTTTCATAAATGTTATTTCAAACCTGCTACCATTTTAATATATTTACAGTGGTCTTTTAAATAGTCTATAAACTTCTTCCATTCCTGTTCAAACTTTTTCTCATTGTGATCACTGATCTTCACAGTCATCTTTGCCATTTCGGCATAGTCCATCATCTTAGTTATTCATTCCTCTTTTGTTGGTACCTTCTCTTTTTTCCACTTCTGGGCAAGCAACATTCATGCGGCTGTTGTTGCATACATGAATAGCCCTTTTAAGTCCCTTGGTATTTCATCCCTTGTTAATCCAAGTAAAAAGGCTTCTGGGTTTTTTGACAAAAGTTATCTTAAACATTTTTTTCAATTCATTGTATATCATTTCCCAGAAGTCTTTTACTTTTCTACAGGACCCACACTGTCAGATTTAACCCCTTAGGCTCAAACTATGAATAAAGGTCACTCCTGAAAGAACCCATGGTTTTGTCCTTTTTTTCTCCTTTCCCCTAATCTGCCTGATATGCAGCCTATGAAAGTAGAACTTGGAGTCACTTATGTAATGAAATATTTATTATTATTATTATAGATGCCTCGAAGACGAGTCAGTGTTGCTGTTGTTTCAAAATTTGAGCTCCCTGGCCAGTCACCTACTGCATCGCCCATACCTTTGATGCCATCCCTGGTAAGGTTTTTCAAATTTCTAACATTCTAGAGAAACCAAAGCTTTAAAGAAAAACCTTTGCACACAGGTGTGACTGTGCCACATTTTATAAATCTGAGGCTATTTGATACAACAGTCATATAAATAAAAAAAATAGATTCGCATCTGAAGTAAACTATGTTGATACACAGACAGAGGTGAGAAATATACCGTTAAACAGAGATGGGGAACCTGCGGCCTTCCAGATGTTGTTGGACTACAACTCCCATCCATCACTATTAACTATCATAGCTGTGGCTGATGGAAGTTGGAGTCCAACAAACATCTGAAGGGTTGTAGGCTTCCTGTCCCTTCTATAGAGGAGGTATTTAGAGATGTTCTGAACAATACTAGGCTTCCTGTACGCAGGAAAACACCTAATTTATGTTTGGGGACCGTTCACATTTTTATGTATGTATGTTGAATACACCTTCATGTAAGAAATACAGTTGTGTTGTTTGCTACTTGATTGAAATTGAATGGACATCTTTATCCACAGTCTGAGTCGTCAAATGGAAGAAGCAATCTGACATCAACTCCCGTCTTATCAGCGCTTATAGAGAAGTGAGTTAACACATATTTACTATATTGAGAATTGTAGAGCAGATAATTCCTGCTGTCATAAAAAGAGCTTTTTTCCTTAAAGAGTTTAAGTTGATGGAATAAGATCAATATTTTGCCAATGAAGGTAGATACAGTACTTTAAATATCTTGCCCATCTGCATTATTTATACCTGTTAAAAAAAGTTAACAGACATTGTCCATGCTATAACCTGGCAGTTACGTCTCTCAAAAAGTTATCTGTACCCATCCCAGAATAATGTGTATTATAAAAGGTTAATCCAATGTTAGTTGTACTCAGAGTAGACCCATTGAAGTTAATTGACATGACTAACTTGAGTCCATTCTGTTCTGAGTAGAACTTAGATAGAGACAACCTAAAGTAATATCATGCTGAACGAAGGCTTTTAAACATGAGAATAACAAATGCCCAGCCCAGCCATTGTTTCAGGTTTTATCAAAAGATTTTTCTTAAGAACACAGGATGTGCTTGTGTTTTGGAACTCCATGCATGAACGTACTTCCTAGAAAGTTTACTGTATATTGGCAGCTTTTCTCACAGGGCAGGGCACTTGCCTTCAGGAAATACAGCACATTTGAAGGAAATCTCCTGCTGACATTTCAGAATTATGATTAGTGATTTGTTGAAGGGTCCAAGATGATGCTGTGTTTATGTAAAGTATCTAGCTTTTCCACAGCAATGAGAATTTCAGTGGAGTTTTTCCAGAATCATTTTTATTTAGAGGTGAGAGAATTGCTGGAGTTGTATAATATCCCTACAAAATCTCTCTTCCCTCATGTGCTGGCAGCCAAGCAGCAATCAGAAAGCAGCAGTGCCCAAGACAAGACTGCAGTTCTCTGACATCACCAAGGCGAATCCCCCATGTTGTTCTTGCATAGCTTCTGCTTCCGTAACGGACAGGGAAGCTTAGCATCAAGCTGCAACCCTTTCCTTTGGGACAATGCCTTCTGTTTCCGTCTTTTGAATTTTATTAGAATCTACGTATATTGTCTGGCTGTCCAGACCAGCCAAGCAGGTCTGAAAGAACACCTCATGTTAGTAAAGCTGACCCAAAACAATCTGCTGACTGAAGGTGACAGTGCTGCTACTCTATTTGTCGTGGAACTAACTTAGCCAGAATGTGCACTCAGTTTTGCAATAGGGGCTCCAGAGCGTGTGAACATGGGAAGTACCAAAACAGAGAAGATGAAATAGAATTGGTTAGGCAAAAGTTATGAATGGAAAAGGGATTTCAGAGGGGAAGCACAGAGCAGACAACAGCTCTGAAGGTGTGTACACATAATGGCACTTTACCATTTCAAGTAATTTCAAGGGAGAGTGACATAAAATAAAAAGGGATGAGAAAGGAAGAGGAAAATTCAAGGCAATCGCTCTTTCATAATACCCTACAGGGTTATATTGGGAAACTGCAGGAGGCAATTCTGGGAAGGGAGGAGTCAAATGGCAGCTTGACCCACTGAGCTTTGTGGTATGTAATATTCCCACTAAAAGACCAACTAGGGCTGGATCAAGTGTTCAGCCCAGCTGTATTTATAAGACTTTGCACTGTATGGACGTCAAAGACCCTCCCAAAGATCAAGAGACCCATAAGCACTCTGGTGGGGGTACATAATATTAGATGAGATAATAAAGTTATCTGTGTTTAATTTTAAATTTACTAGTGGAAAATCAAATGGGGACCCTGAGAGTGAACCACCTCCTTCAGCACCGGTACAGAGTGCCTTGGAAGAGATCAGCCCAGAGATAAAAGCCAAAATAGAAGAAGAGGCTTATAACAAAGGGTGAGTATGTGTGCATTCTGAATCCTTAAAGAGGGAGGCTACATTATGGGCAATTTATTTTAATTATTAGCTAGTGCAGATGTGTATGGGTTCCTCTTGCTTTCATGAAATTTATAGCCTGCTATGCAAATAAAGGGACGCGGGTGGCGCTGTGGGTTAAAGACTCAGCGCCTAGGACTTGCCGATCGCATGGTCGGCGGTTTGAATCCCCGCGGCGGGGTGCGCTCCTGTCATTCGGTCCCAGCGCCTGCCAACCTAGCAGTTCGAAAGCACCTTCGGGTGCAAGTAGATAAATAGGGACCGCTTACCAGCGGGAAGGTAAACAGCGTTCCGTGTGCTGTGCTGGCTCGCCAGATGTCTGCGGACAGCGCTGGCTCCCGGCCTATAGAGTGAGATGAGCGCACAACCCTAGAGTCTGTCAAGACTGGCTCGTACGGGCAGGGGTACCTTTACCTTTACTATGCAAATAAATGATTTGCAGAAATGTAGAATCTTTCTAATAATAATAAACAATAATAAATTTTTATTTGTATCCCACCCTCCCCTGCCAGAGCTGGGCTCAGAGCAGCTAACATCATATTAATAACACAATATACATAAAAATAAGCAATCAATCGATTAAAATGCATCCCAAAATTAATTCAAATAAATTAAAATTAAACTAAACAAATGGCAGTCCTCAGGTTAAATTGAAAGCAGTTAATACTTGCCAGGAACAACTGTTTCCACTGATATTATAAGAACCTGTGAGCGGGCTGGAAAACCTCCTTCATGCTTGTCCTTATACTGCAAATATGGGATTTCCAAAACAGAACAAATTAACACACACACACACACACAAAATTCAGTGAGATGATAGTCACATTTCATTCCTTTGTTTTCTCATCGGTTTCCATTGCCTTAGCAGTTGTGCATCTACATTTAAGCAAAAACAGAAGGGCACCATGTATTCAGAAGGCTAATAACAATTAAGTTGAGAAAAAGAATTAAAACAAAACTGTAACCAAATAAGCATGATTCATATCACAAATTATGTCTAGTGATTCACTGAAAGTCATTGGGCTCATATATCTGAGTAACAGAGCCAGTTCCAAAGTAGGAGCTTTGTTGTTGGTGAGACAACTAGAACCCTGAGGTAATGTACGTACGTGTGTGTGTGTGTGTGTGTGTGTTTAACATATAAACCAATAAGACATAATGTCTGTTAATTTTAAATATATACAACCTCTGTTCATGTTTAGAATTCCATAACAAGTAGGAAGGTCAGAATTCCCCATTTAGAATGTGTCTACAAACACAGTGGTTTATTATGTAACTTGGCTCCTGCCTCTGTACCACTAGGACTGTTAGCCCAGGAAAGAGACTGAATACTTCTGCTAGCAAATACAAAGTAGCTTCCCATGGTCTTTGGAAGAAAGCTACACCACTTAAAGCAGTTTGAAACTGATTTGGATTCCACATCGCCCAGATTATTTGCAGTTATCACTAGTGCTTAAAGAGTAATGCTATAATCTCTACTACACTACTAGACTCTATCAATCTTGACTGATCTGAAGAGTTTATCATAAGTGTCTTCCAGTGTTGATAATTGGGATAGGGGGACTATGGCCTCTATAGGTGTCACAGTTGGAAAAGCAACTGTGTGGCATTTTAGCAGGGACACGTTCTCAAAATAAACAGGACTTACTCAGATCTCATTATTACATTTAGCTATAATTATGTGTGGGTAGTTTGCATGTGCTCTTCTCTCATCACGATTCATGGGTATCCAACTGAGCCCATTCCCCACCTGCATGTTGGAGTATTCCATTTGCTTTTGTTGGTAGTATTCCCTGTTTATCAAGGCCAGCCCATTGATCATGAAGCAAATTTCAGACCCAGCTATTGTGTTTGGATGAGGTTGTATTTTGTCCTACATTTAGTTGGGAATTGTTTTCCTTATTTTTGGCAAATTCTGTTTTACGTTGGTTGTTTCTAAAGCTAGTTGATACAGCAATAGCCTCTCAGGTCAGATTTAGGTGACATTATAGTACCCTTTGCATGTTGATCACCCACAAGGGGCTCCATGAAATCAAGGGGCAGTGGAACCGTACTATTGGCCCTGCCCCTGAAGCTGCATGGCTACCCACCTGATTCAAACTTTGAGAGAAATGCCATACTAGCAAACAAACAAAGCCTTCCTTCACTCTGTTTTTCCTCGATGAATTTCTAGGTTTGTTCAAAACCCTAACCCTTCTTATTATAGAATACCTGGGTAACTTGGAAACCAACCTTAGATTATCAGATATATTTTTTTAAAAATAGCACAGTGACAATGGTGATATCAGGAGCAAGTACAGTAGAAGCATGAGGCAGACTGAATAAGGTCATTGTGATTGTTTAATTTTTTTGTCTGAGCCATGCAGCATGAATGAATTACGCTCTTTATTTAAAAATGAAAAAGAAGAGTACATGCGTCTTTTTTCTTTTCTTTTTTCCTCTTAAAGTTATCAGGAAGGCTTAAAGAAAACCAAAGAACTTGAAGAGCTGAAAGAAGATGATGAAGAGAAAATAGATGAGAGCCCCAAAGAATGTGTAGCAGGTGAAAGCGACGATGAAATCAGCAAGCAGCACAGGTGAGAAAACAGCTGGAGAGGGGGGCAGGAACCTGTGGCCCTCCAAATGTTGTTGGACTTTTGGAGCACCCATTGATTGAGCCCACCCAGCATAGCCAATGATCAGAGATGATGGAAGTTATAGTCCAACAACAGCTGGAGGTCTCTCCTCTGATTTAGAAAGTGAATATTAATTTGTTTTATTAAATGTGTGCTGCCTTCTGGGATGCTTTGGAGGTTAATTCAGAAGAATGCCACCAGTGGGGTAAAGCTACTCCAACCAGCTTTTTTAGAACAACTCTTCCAAGCAAAAATAATTTTATGGGCAACAGAGGCAAGGTTACTGTTGTTCCTGGAAAGATGAAATTTAAGCAGATAAATTCAGGTTGGCATTTTATTGTTCGTATAAGCCAGTGGGTAAAATTTATAAAGGCATTGGGACAGAGTGCTTTCATACATGATGATTCAATCGCATTTGAGCCTCTAAAAGACATTTATGTTACATGAAGGAGAAAGTGAGGGATTGTAGGAATATCCTAAGCAGTTAAAAGACTCTGGGCACAGACTTATGAGGCAAATCTGCATAGAATATGCATATGCTATTCTGTAACCAAAAATGCACACTGAAGACAACTTTCAAAGCATGGGGGGAACAAACTCTGACTCTTGGTGTCAGGACTTAATTTGCCTTAATTAAGATGCCAAGTGGCTGGGTCTTAGTGGTACTGTGGTTTGCCTTGCTGCCTTCTAAGCAAAGTTTTGAAAAACGTTTTTTGCAGGTGGGAGTGGAGGAGATATGGAGGCCAGCACAAAAGTCCTAGGGCTTGGGCCTACCCCTTAAAAACACAGCTAATAAATAATAATAATAAATTTTTATTTGTATCCTGTCCTCCCCGGCCAAAGCCAGGCTCAGAGCGGCTAACAACAAGAAGTAATACTCTTTACAAACTGATTTAGAACAAGAGCTGTGTGTTACCTGTGTGTTACCTGTTTGTTTTCAATACTCTTAGCCTATGTTTTAAATGGTATAGCTGTGAAACCGAAGTCAAATTTAATGAATATACTGGCTTCCTTGACAGTCAGCTTCTCATCTAGTTTTTATTGGAACCTTTGATGGCAGTTTCATCTCATGATGAAAAATCTAAATGACTGTACATGCCATAAATAGTGCATCTTTCTCCTGATGCCGACTGTAATACTTTTAATATGAATATGTCAATTTTCATCTCAAAAAACAAAAAGAGAAAAGATATGTATTCTAAAAGTACTAAAATTGAGACAAAAATAATGAACTACTTCATGCTCATGGGGACAGCTGTACCTTTGATCCTGTGGCATATGACCTGATATGGATAGCCATCTGTACTGCTAAGCCATTCAGTCTTAAATGATATGGTAGCTTTCCAAATAACGGAACTACCTAACTTGTAACTTCTACATACTTGCTTGATTCCTTTTCATTTTACAGCAAACTTGAAGTTATTATCCACTATGTACAAATACTGTACCCCAAACTGCATAAACACTGGAACGTGCTCTGGATTGTAGCTGCTGTTATCATCATTTTTGCTGTGGTGCTGGGAATCTCCAGTTTATACAACTACTTTTCCTCCTGTACTGAGTTGTCGACTGGGCCACGAGTGAAAGCTACCTGTTCTGCTGTCCAGCAATACTTCTGGTGGAACTCAGGACTGCAACATGACCAGCGCACAGAATAACAAAAGCATGAACGGGGAGGAGAACCACTTAACGATACAGCAGTAAGCACCTGTTTGAGAACCGAGGTGCACAAAGCAGAGCAGTGCTTTGTCACTTTTGTGGTGGTTAAATGTGATCAGTAACCTACTGCTTAATTTCGTCTGTGCCATCAGACTTGTGAATGCCGTGTGATTTTTATGTAGCCAGATGCACCAGCCAATAAATGCTGTTCTCTCTTTCATGCTAATTGTTATTTGATTGATGTGCCTGAATATCACTACATGAGAATATAAAGATAGTGTTTGACCAAAAACTGGGCATCTAGGTTATAGGTGGAACACAAATTCCAGTGCTTCTGAGAGATGTCACTTGCGGCCTTCTTCCTATATAAATGTCAGCACTGATTCCTTCTATAAATTTCAGGGGCTTTTCAATTTATTTATTTTTAGCCCTTAGCGTTATAATAGATTAAAGAATTGATTTCACAATCATAAGGAATAAGCAAAAGATTAAATGGAAAAATACTAAAGGCATTGTGTCCTGGCTACAAGCTGGTGCCAATGGTCTCAAAACAGCTTCTCGGCATGAATGAAAGCAGGAACATTTGGCACTCCACCACACATACAGCATAACTTGCAACACAGTCTTTGTTACTTCACACATACTTTGTTCATTCTTTTCTTTTTGAATGGGGAGATTTCACCAGAGTCATGTGGTACATGATACACATGGTGGGGTTCAGTGGAGGTGCCCAATCAGTCACATACAGTCTCTATTATGCATACAGAAGACATGCTCTAGTAAGTGTGAAATGGCTCTGGGTCTGCAAAATCTGTCACCTACATTGGTGATAACTGGTAACCTGCTGTAAGCACAGCAAACTGAAAAGAACTACATTGCATTCATAAGAAGGCGTGGTATATTTGCAGAAGAGAACTGACATTTCTGTTAGGGAACATTTCAGCCAATGGAATGTAAACAACACAGATGTGGTTTTACCATTTGTTATATACTGAGCTTGAAATTCATAGTCGACACAGAGTATATTTCATCATTCATGAAGCTTTCTATTGGAGGAAGCATCTTGTGTGATGTTTGTGCTCAAACTGTGCTAGCCTTTTGCACAAGCTTATCTAGCGTTCATTTGTGTTTGAAATTGATAACTTCTCTTGTATTGGAATTGGAGGCACAGAAGGAAGTGTTGGAAGCATGGTGAGCTCTGATTCAGACAGGATATTAATAGCTTTTCCTAGCTGGGCCTGAGTTCAAAACTCTGTTGAACACTTAGACATATTGTAGGAACTTATTCTTGCAGGAATCTGTTTTATGTGTTGAGAAGGATAAAGAAGTAGAGCCCACTATAAACTTATAACTGATGTCATTTGATGCCTGATAATTTATCTTCAGTTTAATGAGCGTTAGAGTCTCAGGAAATAGAAGTGTGATTTTAATTTTGATTCAAGCAGCTGTTTGAAACACAACTTTGAATTTTCAGATATGTCTCTTAAGCGGCTCCAGAAGAGTAAAATATTGTGATTAAGTACGTTTAATAAGGCTAATGAGAAAGTGTGTCATTTGATCTCAAACTGGAAGAGGGGAATTAAAGGGGGGCAAATAATCAAATTAAATGTTTTTTGCTGGCTTTTGGATGAAATGACTTTGATATGGAATAGATACAATGTAGTTTTTCACTCTAGTGAAATAAAGTTGAGGCACACCTTCTGCTACAGACAATCAGGAAATTAGGAATAACAATGGTATTGCAAAAACCCAAATCAGAAAGCTATTTTATGTAAACTGCTTGATTTATTTATTTATTTAAATTAGGTGGTTTATATATTTTGTTCAATAAGTAAAAGGGAAAAGTTAACTCCCTAGACAGTGGAACGTTTCTTATCAGGTGATCAACCAACTTTACAAAATTAAATTCTGATATTAGTAGTTCATTTTGTTCAGCTATGGTCAGATCATGGATCTGCTCATAAATTGCAGAAGTGAGCTCCATGACCTTTCTGGAGTGAATTCTCTACCATTTTCCTCCCAATCTTAACCACTGCTAAAGTTTACATTACCTCTGAACCAAACCACTGTTTGCTGCTAACCAGAATTTTAAAACAAACTTTCACTTTCTGTTCAATAGCAAACCCTAACTAGTATATTAACCATCATTAAAGTCAATGCTGATGTATGCCTTAATCATGATTAAAGCCAACGGAAGGAATTCCTATATGGAGGTTGGGGTTTGAGCATGCAGGTGGGGCAGAGCATGTAGTCCCAAGTCCTTAAGCATGGTTAAGGCAGCAGAAATGTTAAACCTGAACCAACACTATGGGATAATATCAATGTAAGTTGAGAGGCAACACCTCATTCTGCATTTTCTTCCCTTACAATAGTTCTACTGTGAAACCACTGCATTTTTTTTTAAGTAGAATTACTTAAGATGCATAGCTTTGACACATGGGGCCATCTACCTGCTACAAAAATGATTTACTGTTTCACTAATTATTGGGAAAACAGTTTAATGTATAGGGCACCTGAAATGTCAGTCTTCTTGTTAACAGGATTTTAGACCAAACATAATTAAATTGTTAATAAGTATTGGCTCAATGGGTTATAAATCAGTGCCATATTTTTTCAGACAAAGAAAAGATTATGCATTTTTGGGGGTCTTTCTAAAAAAAAAGTTCTGGCCCTTTAAATTCACAGGACCCATGTGGCTACAAAGAGCAAGTCAGCAATCTTACACCATTCACACCAAAATAGGATTTTGTTTTGGGGTTGTTGTTTTTTTGGAAGTGCAATATTTTATTTATTTGGCTTTAACAAGACACATGTGTATTTTGTGCACAGCACTGATGTTTTAAAGTAGGTGGAACTCGAGAGGCACTATTTTGTGTATCCTGTTTTAAATTTTGTAAAACTTTGCACAGGTGTGCTAGTATTGTACTGTATAGCATCACATACTTGAGATTTGGAAATAAAATATTGTTTCAGAGTCCTCTGTGTTGCTCATGTCATCTGTGACTTATTTATTCTGTGCATGGGCACTTAGGAATTCCATCAGAGAACACAAGTTGTATGTATGGAATGATTAGCAATCTTTAAGAAAAAATAGGTGCTGAAATTTTCTTTCTTTCTCTCTACCCTGTTTTCAGTAATACAGGGTGAAGCACTCATCTTCTCAAGTGTGCTTTTTGTACAAACACAAGTTTAAATGGAAAGGGAAACACAAAAACAATCAGGAATAAATTTAAAGGCTTCCATTATCCTTTTAAGTGCACTTGACACTGTGTAGTTTTTAAAACACAGACATTTTTGAGACACAAGGTTTGCCTCTGGGGACAATATGTTGTCCATCAACCCAACCTTGCAAAATCCCCCAACGTATAAATGTGCTTTTGCCATGTTGTTTTAAGATTTATTTGGCCCCCTTTGCTACATGATCACAGCCATTCTGTGATGACGTAATGAATGTGATTTACTGGAGTTATGTAGTCAATTGCTTTTGGCTACATGATGGCATTACCAAGGGAAAATAAAGTCAATATCATTGTATCGTTGCCCTAGCTCAAAATGGCTGTGAGGTCAGTGTGGGGATAGAACATGACTCAACTAGGATGTCAACGTCATCATTTTCCCATTGCTCACCCTTACTCTTTCCTCAGCGCTAGATTCATGGCGGTGTGGGCTGTTCTGCCACACAGGGCATTAAGCAAGTGGGCACAATATTGAGAAGATCAATAATTGAGAAGATCCATTTGGGGAGGAGCAAAATTTTGGCCTTGCACAGGTCACCATATTATGACAGATTACCAAGTCCCACCCCTGCTTGCCTCTACAGATCTATATAGCTAGACTCGGAGTGTTACTTAGGCTGCCTTGTTCTTAGCAATGGGGGCATATTTCACCCCTCCGATACCTGTCCCAACATAATGGGTGAACACTTTGTTCATCTTTTTTGGGGGGGAAACAGCACACACTAAATGGGGTGATCCTTTGGAAGCAAGAGCAAGCCTTCATGAAAAGCACCACGACTCAGGCACTTTTGGTTTCTCTCTTAATCGTTTTTCCAGATTTAAGTTCAGTTTTTCACATTTTCTCATCAGTTTGCTTTAAAATAAGGAAGGTGGCTTTGATCCACACTCTCTGTGTGCATTTGGCTATTTTGTCATGTTCCGTTCACAGCTTCTTGAGGAGTCACTTGGCCACGCTCAGTGCACGCCCAAATGGCATCTCTTCTACCTTAGATGTGATTGTGACACTGCTGACAAAGAGAAAGACAAGAGATGCAGTCAGGCAGGAAAACTTGAGTCTGTCAGAGACTGGATCCTAAGTATAAGCACAAGTTGAATCACTGCGTCTAGTTTCAGATAAAATCAAATTTTGATTCTATATTGAGATTCCTGCATTGAAGGGGTTGGACTAGACAACGACTCAGGATCCCTTCCAAATCTACAATTCTATAGTTCTATCCTTTCCCAAAAACAGAGTTTGTAAACCATTACCTCAGTCAAATAGTCATTTTTTTCATCTTTCAACCATGCATCTAAATTATAAATTTATATCAAAAGTTCTGATTTCCATGTTTTTACATATAAGGTAATAAACAGTTTTACACACCACACCCGCAGCTTCTGGCTAACAAGTGATTAGGCTAAATGAAGGATAAGTGACTCACAACTGCCTAAACAGGAACTGTCACAGAATGAGCACCCCAGAGCTATAGGGGAAATCTTCCCGTTGTTTATAAGACGAAGAGTATAACATCGTGTTATCTCTCTTCCTCAGCTGTACGTTTTCTGAGTCAGCACTAGTTTTGTTTTCCAGGCTGCCCCCTAGCTTTTTTGGGGGGGTGTCATGCGTTTCCACTTAGTGCCCTTGACCTGTGGGATGGCTTTTGAGCTCAGCAACAAGTTCGTTCCTGCCTGCGGTGGAGCACAGTGGCCGTTCAGCAGTTCTCAAGAGAGGACCTCATTCGGAGATCACAAGGTGCGCAAGGCGTCACATTTTCAACACTGCAGGGTGGGAAGGAAGCAACCTGGCTTGAATCTCGACACCTGCTGTTCCCGAGGATGGCATCTCATGTTGGAGTTACAATCTTCTTTTTCTCAACCTGGATTGCAAGCGTCACAACCCAGCACAATTTTCCTTTGGAAGGTACGTTTTTAGTATGTTGCTTGTACTGTTTTTTTCTGAAGTGTTTTGTAGCACTGTAAGGACAAGGTAATCGAATCCAGCCCACTATTCTCAGCAAGATTATTCACAGCTCTGCAAATTAATCCCGGATTGCAGTAAAATGAAACACAGAGCGCGCGGATACCTAAACAATAAGGGGTGCTTCCAGACTGCCACTGTTTTGGGGTGGGATTCAGACACATAGCAGCAAATTTGGCTGGTACCATTAAAGCTGACTTTATGCTCTCGCACAACAAACTTGTTTCTGGCCCCCAAAATGTGGACTCTTTGCAATAAAGATGCACTGGAACGGATGGAATAACACTTGCTTGGCCCAACATTGTATAACCTCTCTGCAAACAAATCAAAATGAATGCTCAATCAATAGCTAACGTCACCTAACCTCCCTACAAACTTTATGCAAACAAATCAGGATATTCAATAAACAGGCTGTCTGAAAGCAGCCAAGAACTCCTAAGTGTCTCCAGTTAAAGATGCAACTAGAATGTTAATAAATTATTGAAAAATGAAATTCTGAATCAGGTGTTACAAGTAATGTAGCAGTTACCTTAGCTGCAGAATCAGATATTTTTCTGTGATTTTCTTAAGTTTTATTTTTTTGCTTGGATTTGTTCCTCCCTTTCCTCTTATTATCTTCAAAATGTGTTTATCAACCAAATCACAAAAAACAAGGTTTTGAATCTACTGAGCAGTTCAAAAGTTTTTGCTGGTTATTAGTTTAATGACTTTTAAAATGATTTAAAGTTGCTCTGCTGAGTGCTAGCCAGCCATCTGTTTTTAGCCAGTAAGTTCACAGCCCAGGTTATAGTTGTCAAAGAGCACAGTCCAGCACTCTATCCATGCTAAAAAAAATTCCAGTCACCACAAGCTTAATATACTTTTCCCTTTTCCTTTACTTGTTCCCACTGTTTCAGATAGAATCCCTTCCCTTTCTCCTTTTCCTTCCTTGCAAGTTCAGCCACACCCATTTCCACTTCAAGTCCTGAGAGAGAACAGCCAAGCCGCTGGACTGACTAATACAGCTTTATAATATGATCAAACTCTCCAGTTCTATCTGTCACTGCACAAGAGCTCTTTCAATGAAGTTCATTTTCCTGTTTCAAGTAAACTTCCTAATCTTAGGAAACTTAGGTTATGAGTAAAGCACTTAATAAAAAAAGATAGCAAAGTTATGTTGTTATTTGAAGCAGAAACTCCAAAAGACGCCATGGATTTTGTTTTAAATAATCGTATGCCCTCTAATATGTACTGTCCCTTCCTACCTAATGGTAGTGTTGGCACTGAACACCACAAATATTTGCATGCACCAAGAGCACTCAGTTTGGTAAGAAAAATTGGTCCTTGGGGAGTAGAGTATTGTTTGAGGCAAATTGATGACTAAAGAGGAAAGAGGAGTCAAGATTCAGATACACAATGCTTATTTTTAAACCCTGTTCATTTATTTTAAAAGAAAGGATGTCTCTTATTCCCAAGGCTAACTGTTCTGCAGAATACTGCAGATATTTCTTCCCTCCAAATCTAATAGACCCTTATCATCTTGACTGTACCTCATTTGTCAAATGTTCTTTTTGAAGTGACTTTGAATTCTAGTACAGTGGTACCTCGGGTTACATATGCTTTAGGTTACAGACGCTTCAGGTTACAGACTCCGCTAACCCAGAAATAGTACCTCGGGTTAAGAACTTTGCTTCAGGATGAGAACAGAAACCGTACGCCAGCTGCGCGGCAGCAACAGGAGGCCCCATTAGCTAAAGTGATGCTTCAGGTTAAGAACAGTTTCAGGTTAAGAACGGACCTCCAGAATGAAATAAGTTCTTCACCCGAGGTACCACTGTATTATGAAAGGGAAAAACAGTTTTCAATCCACTTTCTTCATGCTATTCATAATTTAATGCACCTCTATAATGTCCCTTCTTACTCAAATTTTCTCTTGGTTAAAAAGTCCCCCATATGGTAGCCTATACTCATAAACTTCCTCATGCTTTTCTCAAGACTCCAAGGTCTTGTTCCCAGCAGTGGCAGCCTTTGAGCTCTCAAATTTCAGCAGTACCCTGTACGACGACACTAAAATCAACCACCCACCCACCCATCTCTTGCGCTCTACAGCATTGCTGAGGCACCCCTGCACCGTGGCGCCCAAACCAGTCCTGCTCCCCTAAAACTGCCTCTGCTCCTGGTCAATCACTGTCAGTTCAGACCCTGTAAGTGTATATATTAAATTAAGACTTTTTGCTCTGATGTGCATCACTTTACATTTCCTTACACTGAATGACATTTGCCATTTTACTGTTCCTTCACCCTGCTTAGGACGATTTGCAATCCTGTTTTGTTTTAACCACTCTGAACCATTTTGTATCACCAGCAAACTTGGTAACTTCGCTGCTCACCCCTAACTCTAGATCATTTATGAACACATTTAAAAGCACATGTTCCCAAACCAATCCTTGGATATCAAGGTGGTCCCAGGCTGTGTACATTATTCTTTTTAACATTCCATTGTACCCTCACAACAATTCTTTAAGAGAGTGACTAGGCTGAGGGAGAGTTCAAACCCAGCTCTCCCTGATCCTTACTAACCAAAGTTATTTTTAGTTAAAGAATATCGGTTATTGGGAATAGGCATGACCCTGGATTGGAATGCTGGAGTGACTCAGCTAGTTGGTGTAATTATACTTGACTTTATGTAAAGTAGCTCTTATAATTTTTCCACTCTTCAAAGTACATGAAATTAAAGATCAAATTTCTATAAGTAATCATTTGATGTATTTCTTCTCTATATGCAGATGTTAAGACTCTCCAGTGCAGGATTTCTGGAATAACTCTTGCTTCACATGTTAACAATAAAGGTGTATTTAATTTTGTCACTGCACGACAAATATGCGAGCAGCTGGGGTTACAGTTGGCATATAAATCTCAGGTTGAAGAGGCTCGGAAGCATGGCTTTGAAACCTGCAGGTACAGAAAATCTTTCAACATTTAAAATATTTTATTGTAGGTTGGCAAATAGACATATCTTTGTAGATACAATATTTTAAAAAATATTATTATAAATGAATCTAAAGCATGAAATAATTAAATATCTACACCTTATTCTGACTTTTCTTACATTAACGTTCTGTGATTAAGGCTGCAATCCTAACCTCACTTACCTGGGAGTAAGCCTCATTGAATTCAATAGGACTTACATTGAGTTAGGATTGTGCTGTGACTGTCTCTGTTCATTTCCTTCACAGAAGGGATTTCAAATATTTAAGTCTAAGTCCATAGAGTAACATCCACCATTAGTCGTACTCAGAGTAGACCAACTGAAAAATTGACAGGATCCTGCTATCCCATATCACAAACTCCTTTTGAAACGTCCCCAAGTTTCCAAAGAGACGGGCTATGTGACAGGAAGAGTTGCTGTTCAATACTTGTAAGCCCCAAAGCCTCCTTAGGGTCACAGAACTGTTTGTGTAGATCCTTAGATCTCAGAAATAGTTAGTAATCAAATCATTGACATCTTTGCACATTTTTATAACATGTCTTTCATTCCGTTTACACTCTTGTTTTACATTACTTACCATGTAACATCCTGACTGTGACATTATATAGCTTTTCATTTCCTGTTCTTGCCAATTTTATTAAGTCTGAATCTTAAACACAGTTATTAGGAAGTCAGCCCCACTGAACACAATGGGACTTGCTTCTAAACAGATGTGTATAGGGTTTCGATGTACAGAAATTGCTAAAGTCAGGGCTGGCCCAAGACGTTTTGACACTTGCGGTGAAGCACAAAATGGTTCCTCCCCCCACCCCCACCAGAGAAGAAGTGGTGTGTGAAGATCTACATCGGGAATGGGGGGAAGGATAAATAGCTACATCGGAACATGGGTGTGAGGAGCTCCTCCCTATGCCAAGAGGTTGCTGCATGAGGGGATGCTGAGAAGGCAGCAGATCCAGTCTTCAAGGTGCATGCCACAGCTGTCACTGCTACTGTGGCAGCAGGCATTGCATTCTTTGGAGGTTGCATTTGCTACTCCTATGGATCCCGCTGCCCGAATTGGTCACCTCATCTTGCCTCCTAGGTGGGCTGCTCTAAATAAAGTTTTTTATAAAAAAAAACAACAACAACCAAGAAGAAAACTTTCTGTGTCCTTGAGATAGTGTAGTCGTGTGTGACAGACACTTGCTATTATTGGATGAGTTGTTTGATTATGCTGAAGAACCACATCAAATACATATTCAGCAAGAAGGTGGTATTAAATTTATACATGCTTATTTGCAAGTAAGCCAAATTGCACAGTGATGCAGTCCAGACCCATTCATTTCATCCCCCTATTTAAACATATGACAATTTCATGTGTTAGACTACAAATGGCAAATCTTGGAACCTGGATTGCAAATCCATAAAGTTGTCAACAGTAGAAAATATTGTCTATCTTTTTAAAGATAAACCTGTGAGAGAACTTTTCTACAGCGTTATTTGCTTTCCCTTTCTTCTATAAAAGCTCCATGTTGCAGAGTAGGTTGTTTCTAAGGGAGAACCAAAACTTGGGCCTCACACAATCTATCTATCTATCTATCTATCTATCTATCTATCTATCTATCTATCAGTAAGCAAGCTATTCAATGGCCCACAGTGACCAGAATAAACATTCAGTTTAGGTTTTATATGCTAAATTTTATCAAGTACATTCTTTGATATGGGCATACGCTTAACAGAAAAACAATGTTTTCCGTTGTAGTTTTGGCTGGATACAAGAAGGGTATGTTGTCATTTCCCGGATAACTCCCAATGAAAAATGTGGTAGGAATAACACTGGAATAGTCATCTGGAGAACCAAACATGACTATCGAGCCCATGCTTACTGTTACAATTCTTCAGGTGAGTGAGCCAAGATAATGAATCAAGCAATAATATTTTGTATCAAATCTCTTTCTTAAGCGGATGTAGCGAGATTTCGTGTGAAGGCTATCCAGTTGCCATGAGATCATGGCCAGCCTGCGCCACCCACCTCACAACTTAAATTTTCCACCATCTCTCAGTTTACCCTGACTCTTGGATAAAAGGAACTACAAGTTACACATAAACTTTCAACCTGAGAGAGGAAACTATCCGCTAACTTCTCTGTGTCCCCTTGGTCAAAGTGTATGGTATGAAAGGGCAGTAAAGCAGGCAGGGCGGAGAATCATTGGGTGTGTCATGGTATGTTGTTGTCAAGGTTTCAGATCAAGCTTTGTTACAGTGGACTCTCCTTTCTTTCAGGTTTTAAACTGGAGGTTGGATGGCTATTAGCCAGAGATTATTTAGCTGCAATTCCTGCGTTGCAAAGGGTTGGATTAGATGACCCCATGGGATCCCTTCAATTCTATGATTCTAAGATTCTATGAATTAGGGATGGGATGGAAATATAAGGAATGAAGGGGAGAGCAGATAGGCAAAATTAAAAAGAAACATTTTTCTCTCTAAATTCTAAAAGTTCCCCAATTTATTTCCTCATAAACCTCTTGAAAAGTACTGATGGTGTACCAATTGCAATGCACTCTGCTAGATGGTGCATGATTTTTAATTGTATTTTATTGCTTCTTTTGTTTCTTGTATGACAATTTACATTCCATACAATTCAAATTGTGATAGAAAAAGATAACCTACTGGTTGATACTGGATCAGAGTGTCTCTGTCCTTCACATCATGATGATGATGATAATGATGTTGATGAAATTTCTGTACTGCGCTTCATCCTAGGATTACAGTGCATCTTACAATATAAAAACACAAAAATACTACCTAATAATGAGTGTGTTAATCTCTAACAGTCATGGTGTAAAATGTACTTGGATAAATTTGTGTCCTCTCTGTGACTTTTGGCATCACTTAAAGACTCTGGTGATAAAAGTAATATCACTCTGTCATTCAGCATCCTATTCAGTCAATGAAAATGCGTCATCAAGCTTCCACCAGGGACTCATATGAAGAACCGTAAAGAGGTCATTTCCTTCTATTATATTAAAATGTACTCAGAATGACCATTGGTGTCATAATAGCTTTCAAACTGTGTAAATTATGTAAACGACCTTCAGAATAAGGGATTAGTTATTCCTCAGGATCACATTGGCAGCTCAATTCTCTTGCTGCATTTAATATATCAAAGCACCTACACGCTACAGGAGCATACAAAACATGCCTTTAAAATGTGGTTTTAAGTACCACCGCAATGTAGTGGGTTGGGTAACTTTCTGAACCAATGTTTTTCCTGGCCTAAGGGCCAAACTAGATGAGATGTTAATTTTGTGAAAGCAATGAGTAAGTATGTCGTTTCATTTAAATAACCACTATTAGGACCAGATGTGCAGGAATTTAATGCTTTTGACTCCCATTATGCTCCCAATTTTCCTGGGAAGCAGGAGAGAGAGCACCCAGCAAAACACTTTTTTCCCTAATGGATATTCAACCTTCCCTGTTGTTAACTGTCATACTGCTGCTGACACCTCCTTCTTGTTTCTCAGGGATTCCACTTACGCTGACAGTGCAGTTCCCATCCAGCTTAGCTATTAGAGGCACAAGGATGAGGATGATGAAGTATACTTTAAACAAACAAAAATAAATAGAAATAGAAATTACCACCTGATTTATGATGGTTGTAGCAAGGAGGAAAGCGTTCACTGCAATTCAGTATGAAAAGTCATTTCAGCTGCATGCAAAATGCTATTGTCAATACATCTCATTGCACCGCTTTCCCTCATCTTTTCAGACACATGGATTAATTCCTGCATACCAGAAGAAAGTACAACTGCATCCCTGGACGTTACTATGGAGGCAAACTCTACTTCTGCAGTCTTGCCTCAGGACACTTCAGCAGTAGTTCAAACATCTGAGTCACAGAAAACTAAAGAGCCTTCAAAGCTGCTATATCGTATTATATGTGTAACGCAGACCATTTCACCAACAGCACCAACTACGGAGGATGTGATCCTACATCTCACGGCAAAACAAACTGCCTTTAGAAATGATTCTCTGTTTGGAGGTAAGAGCAACATCCCATTATTTAGCTTAGAGAATTAGATGTATGGCTGTTTTCATACTTTCCCCGTGCCTTCTGGTCTTTTCCAGTGGTATAACAAAACATCAGTAGATGTGTTAATGCAAATAAAAGGAAAGCTAGGGCTTCATCTGAGGTTTAAAAAATCCATATTGAGTGGAGGTAAGGGAAAGGTGACATTTTGAAGCAAGAAGCTGTAAAGAATGTAAACTAAACCAGACCTGCAGGAGTGAAGGGGATTCTTCATTTCTGATGTATTTTAAGAATTATTTATTTTTGGCCTAGCCTAGATCTGTTTCAGAAGACTCTTATTTTAATATTACATCCCTTGGGGGGGACGGGACCTGACACCTGGCATTAGTATGGCTGAGGAAGCCCCTGGTTTGAATCTTGCCTCCATCATGAACCCACTAAGGTTGTGTTCCCACTTTCATTTACTGTGAACTCACTCCCTTTCCACATGACATTATCCAAAATGCAAATGAATCCTGTTGTTATAAAACAGTACTGTCTCAGGATTTGTTTCCCAAACCAGCTTCATGCCAGTGGGAATCTTACCTTCATACAGACTTGGAATATGCACAATCCAGTCATGGCAAAGAGGCAAAATGTTTAGAAACGCTAAATAACTGTGCCTAGAACAACAACAAATCAGCCAAGGGGTGGCTACCCAGGATTTTTTGTTGAGTGGTGCCTAGGACCTAGGGCAGGATGTAAGTGGTGTTGAACTGATTGGAAACAGTGGCCACAGTGGTCTCAAATTCACCATATATGAAGGTGGGCTATTGCCAGGAAAGTCCAAGAAAGTTGCATTTGACTTCAAAAGAGGAAACTTCCCAAAAATTAGATTAGGGAAAAGGTAGATGAGAGAAAGTGAAGAATGCTTGCGGGTTGTTCAAGGCCACAGATCAGGAAATGTAAAGTCTTAAGTGCAGGCAAAAGTGCCACCTACTCCAGAGGATTGAGGGGACCCGACGTGATGTTCTGATATCACATGCCCAAAGTCATGTGACATCAGGACACTGTACACGGAGCCTTCTAAACATTGAGGGGGGCCGGCCCTTAAGTCAAGGGTCACATTCTCTTGTTGGAAGTAATCTGTCATAGGCCTAGTGCTGGCAATGAGTGGAATTAAAACAAGCAATGGGTGAGGACAGAGCCCAAGGTAGGTTTGTACCACCTTTTCTCTCTTTCCACCACCCATTCCCCCATTTTCCTCTCCTTGATATCTGCATGAAATGTGGTTGAGGGCTATGACTTGCCCCCTCCCCCAGGTTTAGGTGGGTTTCTGCTGCTTACTTGCTTGTGGGAGGTGTGCTAGTTTTGAGATATAAGAGAGTTCTTCTTCCCCTGTATCCAAAAGGGCATGACAGATAGTTGCTGCTCATTGTGGCTGCTGATGACACGACAAAGTAGTTATGTCAAAGAATTCTTAGTCAATCTCATTTCAGTCCAGGGATACTGAGCTACAGAAGTGGTTTCAAAGTCTTTTTAATGGAAATGTCCTTCCAGGGTGGCCAGATAGAAAAGCAGACCGCACTCCCGCACCTTTAATAGTTGATTAGAAGAGGGATCTTCAGCTAATCCTACTGTTGTGCAACCTATGCTGGCAAAAAATTCCCTATTCTACTAATTATTAAAGGTTCATGAGCCCTGTCCTCTTTTGCATCTGGCCATCATAATTTTTGCTAATGGAATTTGCCATCATAAAATGGGATTTACTCCAAGGTAAGCAGGTGGCGCTGTGGTCCAAACCACACAGCCTAGGGCTTGCCGATCAGAAGGTTGGCGGTTCGAATCCCCGTGACGGGGTGAGCTCCCGTTGCTCGGCCCCAGCTCCTGCCCACCTAGCAGTTTGAAAGCACATCAAAGTTCAAGCAGATAAATAGGTACCACTCCGGCGGGAAGGTAAACGGCTTTTTCGTGCGCTGCTCTGCTTTCGCCAGAAGTGGCTTAGTCATGCTGACCACAGGACCCGGAAGCTGTCTGTGGACAAACGCCGGCTCCCTCGGTCATTAAAGCGAGATGAGCACCACAACCCCAGAGTCATCTGCGACTGGACTTAACGGTCAGGGGTCCCTTTACCTTTACCTTTAAGTGTGCATAGCACTGCAACATTAGATTTTTCTCGTCAGTCTAGATGATGACATCATCTTTCTCCAACTCTGAGAGGACAAGAACAGAAATAAAGTAATGCTAACAGGCATTTTGGGGTGGCTTAATGTTAAAAAAATTATCAGTGCCAAGATTAATCTACCAACTACGCCCAGGCTGAATCATATGCCAGGACACAGTGACTAATTAGTTGCACATGCTCTGTGGGGACAAGTTGTTCAGCAACAAAAGCATGCCAGTATGACAAAAATTCCTGCTGTTCTGTGAAGTTCCAGGGAAATTTTTTTGGCCACAAAATATTTTGTGTATATATTTTTTTAAGTGTGCTGCTTTAAGACATTTTATAACACTTTTGGAGTAGAAACAAAACATGGTTTTTTAATTTTAAAAATCACATTTTCATATAAAATCACATAAATGAAAACAAAACCAACAGATCCATCAATATGAACAAAGGACATCCACAACTCAACCAGTCACAAAAACCAAATACAAGCTAAAACAGAAATATATTAGATACTTTTTTACAAAAACAGGGAGAGAAAAGCAATTCCTGAAAACAACATTCCACAATGCAAGGAGTGTAACAGTAAATGTCCCTTTCTTGGCTGCATATCTCCTAAACTCTTGCAGAGAGGACAAGTCAACTGCTGAGAAGCGAGTCCCTGATACAGAGCAAGCTAGTTCCTCAAATACTTTGGTCCTGAGCTGTATAGGTCCAAAACGCCCCCTTGAATTCCCATCCACAAATCAATGTTGTGTGCTGACCAGCCTTTGGAAACCACCAGACATGATGGATTGCCCTTCATACACTTTGATTCTAAAACAATCTGTTTCTCTCTCTAGGTGTACCCACTGCCCTCCTTGTGCTCGCCCTCATCTTCTTCACAGCAACAGTTGTTTTAGCAGTCTGCTATGTCAAAAAGTAAGGGTATTTTTTTGTTTTATTTGCTACAATAAATATCCATATGCATCTTTAGACATCTGCTGCCTTGACATGTGCGCATTCAACATGCTGACCAAGAAAGTGAGCCTTGGACTCTGCAGGTAGAATGCTTTGTGCAAATCAGCCTCTAACCCTGTACCTTTATTGGCATGTATATTCTTTTATGCAGTAGAAACATAATACAGGTGAAGCACATTTGCATACATTTGTACACTCAAAGGCATGTGTTCATATACAGTGTTCTGCACATGGAAGGGAAGTGCATTTACACAATCTGCATGTTATGGTCTCTTCATGGATGTAGCGGGGGGGGGGCAGGGGGGCAGCTAACCCCAGATCAAGTAAAACAATAGAAATATTTAACTAACTGACCAATCACGTCAGTCCTGCTCCCCCCCCAACAAAAACCCTGGCTACGCCCATGTGTCTCTTGACCACCAGATCTGTGACCCTCTGTGGAACAGCAGCTCATAAAAGAACCTTGCACCAGTGCTCTGATCTGGTCCTGGGATTTTACCTAAATATATCCCTCAATTCTATTGGGGGATAAACAAATGAATTGGGAACTGCTGTGCTGCACAGTGGAATTTATGTGGCTTTGGTGAGTTCAAAGCTAACTATACAGCATCCTAAGGGTTATTTGAGTTGTCCTTGCACCTTCTCAAGAATATGTTCATTGCCTGCTTCAATTCTTTGAGTGGCAAGATGTTCCAGACGTAGTGCAAGTGCTTAGTTTCCTTTGGAGAAGGGAGCATTGGAGACTTATGGTTACTTGTCCAATTTCCTAACTTGTTCCAAATTTTATTTAAAGATACAAGAAAACATTTCCATTTTCCAACAAGGAGGAGAAAAAGGTAGAAATTGAAACCAAGAACATCAAAGAAACAAAGACAAGTGTCAAAACTCCAGAGCAGGAACCCAAGGGAAACGGGAAAAACACAGAAGAATCTCAAGCCAAGCCTGAACCACGGGTAAAATGTTTGGAAGCAGAAGTTTAAGAAATGGCATCCAAATGGACATATCTTAGATGAACAAATGACAGATATTAGCAAATTGTTTATAAATGGATGGTTGTAAATACTGCCAAAGTCAATATTTTTGTCTCTCTATGCAATTTGTACTTTATGCATATCAGCTATACCATGTCATTACAAAAATATGCCTAGTTCATTACAGAATTCCATAAATGGAAGGGTTAATGTGGAGAGAAGAGAAAAGATCTGATTCACATGGGAAAATGTGGCACAAGCTTTGTAACTATGAAATGTTGTATCCAACTTTTCAGATAAAATTGTACTATACACTTCCCTATAGGAATCACTTTAAGCAGGCAGTCTTCTCTCTCTCCCCCCCCCCCTCTCTCTATTTAAACCAAAGACAATTATAACAGAGCAATCATCTGCATGACATTCTGAGGTATGTTCCATCCTCTTCTATAGAGTTTTTTCTGCAGCAACTGTGTTTAGGATTAAAGCATAATATATCTCTCCAAAAAAATATGTTGCCATTGTCACATTCATTATCATACTACGGTATACCATTTTATTTATTAAGATTGCTCTGAAAAGGCAATATAATTATTTCTATACAACTTCCAGGGAGATATATTTGGATACAATCTTTTGAAACAACACGATTGGTTTCTAATTGATATGGAAGGTTTTTCCATCTTAATAAAAAAAATTGCAGAAATCATTTTTGTAATGTTATATGGCGATAATCTACAATCCAAAAAAGCATACAAAATTGGCTTTTCTTGCCATTAGTTAAACTCAAAGTGCATATGTCAGGCCATAGTAAATTGTTTAATGGTGGCATTTCGAACATACCATTGATACTTATAGGAGTCTAACTATATTTACACCAAAGTAAGTAAGTAAATGGGGTCACGAAGAATCGGACATGACTAAATGACTAAACAACAACAAGTAAGTAAATCCAAGAAGGTTCAGTGGGACTACCTAGTAAATTTTACTTCTCAAGATGGGCAATGCATATTGAATTGGTTTTGGATGTGGGCTAGAATAACACATAGGAAAGAAATTGACAAGTAAACACAATGGATAAGATCCAAGTTCCACTTCATTTCATATACGAGAGGAATCCTATTGCAGAGCTATGTTTTTAGCATCCTGAATAACTCTGTTACACAACACTTGTGCCAAGCCTGAATCAGTAGTCAAAGTTCAATGAATAACACAGTTCTTAACATAACAAAGCATCACTGAAGCACACATGTCCACCTAAAAGACAAATAAATTATCTGTTGAAATCTGATTTACTCTACCTCTTGGAAATGAACCCTTGCAGGAAATACCTGAAAACAGTTACACAAAGAATGATGGGTTCCATTCAATAGAAACTGACAAGCTGCCATTCTTCAATAACATATGTAGGATTCCCACACTTGATCTCCAGATGTTTGTTGACCTTTATGGAAAGGGGGAGACTTGACTATGTACTTCCTGCAGGAAATATGCAAGATACGAAAATATTAAACCAGGTTTTGTTGCAAATAGTTTTCTTGAATATAACTTTAACAGACCATTTAGTACACCAATGGCCACAATCAGTTCTTCAAGATACTATTACCCATGCTCATTATTGATTTTCTCAGTGTGTTGCCAGGGATTCCTTGTTTATCAGGATTTTTTGTACTGTAGATTGTCCATCACCACTGAATGTCTGTCTCATGCAGCCGCAGCGAGTAATCTACCAGTCCAAATCGCATGTGGTAAGGCCCAGCCTTGCATGAACTGAATGTGCACTTAGAATGCCCCCCAGTTCTTAACATGTAGGGGGTTTGCAGCAAACAAGTCATGTGGAAAGGGTTCATTCATGAAGGTAGGAAATTTTAAAACTACTAATGTAAGTGATCCAGCATGTTATTTTTTAAAAACTTCTGTTTAGTCCTTTTTAGTAGTGGTTCCCAAACTTTTCTCCATGGGCCACTTGAAAATTACTGAGGATCCTGGTGGACATGATGGGAACACAGACTCGTTCCCAAGAGTGGTTGCAGTAGCAAAATGCCAAATTTTGAGAAAAGGAAAGATTCTGTGGTATGCAGGTAGGCAGTCAGTTCCAACATAGCTCTTGTCCCAACAATGGGAGAAAATTAGGTTTTCAACGAGCGAATTTTAAGTGCATTTTTGAAGCTGATATCCATGTTATAAATTATTTGCCATGCAATCCTATACATTTCTGCGGAGGCCTGCCTTGTTGATTGGCTCTTATTCCCGATTCCACTAAGCACAGTATAAAATTTGAGCCTTTGATCCTGTTTCTCTTCCTCTACAAGCAAACAAGACTCACCCAGCTTTTTTGCCATGGATTTAGAAAGGGCCATGGGCGTAGCCGGGGGAGCAGCTGCCCCCCTAAATCAAATAAATTAAAATACTTAATTGTCCAATTGCATTGCAGGTAACTCAGTTCTGCCCCCCCTTACAGAAAGCCTGTGCCCCCTAAAATAAATCCTGGCTACATCCATGGAAAGGGTTTGTGCATTATTATTATTATCATTGTTGTTTATTTACTTAAGTATTATTTCAAGCACATTAATTGTAGCTCTCCGGACGAATAAGGGCTGGGGGAGCAGGCTGAATTAGTTTTATTCTTATCGGCTGGTGAGTGGGTGGGAGAATTATAACCAAGCGGGATTGTAAAACTGTAGCCCGCTTTGGCAAAAAGGCGATATAGAATCGCAAAACTGTAAGAGTTGGAAGGGATGACGAAGCGCGAACTGCCTCACTGGAACTGGAGAGAAGAAGGGGAGCGTATTAACCCTTTTATACCCAGAGTCGGGAGGGGATACTAACACGCCCTGGAAGAGAATCCCAACAGGAATTCTCACGAGGGCAGCTTCTGTCCGTCTCCTAGCAACCAGAAAAACCAACGGCAGGCAGAGGGCGCGCGGGGGAGCGGGCGAGGGGAGCGCGAGGATACGTAAGCCGAACGCGACGGGAGCCGGTTTGGCCCATATGTCGAGCTTTCGCGTCGCTCGCCTAGTTGTAACCGCGAAGAAGAAGAAGAAGAGGAGCGAGGCCTCCTCTGCGCCCGGAGGGAGGCGGTGCCCGCGACCAGCAGCAGGATGCCGAGGCGCTGCGGGTGAGGCTCGAGCTCCCTCCGTTTCTTGGCTGCGGATACAGCGCCCTGAGCCGCCCTTCCCACCCGCCGCCCAAGCCCAGAAGCCTCGTTTCGCGGGCTCAGGAACTGAGGAAACCCCGCCCTCGGGCGTTGGGAGGCCCGGGAGCGCCCGTCTCCGCTTCCCTCCGGCAGCGTTTGGGCGCCTCGGGCCGCGAGCGGGGAGGGAGGAGAGACGGCGTCGTGGCGGCGGCGGTTCTCCTCGAGGGGCTCCGGGTGGGTGTGGCGCTGCTGGGCGCGGCCCCGTGAGCTCTGGGACCTCGGAGAGAAGGGGGGCGCGGCGGGGCTGCCTTTCGCTCCTGAGTCCAGAGCGCAGCTTGGCAGGTGCCCAGCCCCCCGAGGGGTCCGGCTGCCCTGTGCGGTTTCTTGTTGATTTGGGGCCGGGTCTTCAGATTCTCCTCCTCTTTCTCACGAGCACGCTCCGTTTCAAAACCGAGTTTGGAAAGTAAAGCTGTTGCCCTGCTTTGTGGGGCCTAAGTGGCTGACAACAACAAATACCCGTTCGCGGTACCTCTTGTGCTAAAGCGAGGGTCAGGAAACCCAAGCATGTTCCAGCCTCGAAAGGACTTTGAGCCACTTGTTTCTCTGTTTCGTTAAATATATATATATGTATACCGCTTTGTTGTGTAAAAACAAAAAAAAAACAAAAACAAAAAAGCGCACAGACACACAAAGAACCTCAAAGCGGTTTACAAAAACACTTGTGTCCCATATTATTTTGAAGTGCTGGATTCTCCTGTGATGTCAACCTAGGAGGAGGCTGGGTTGGTATAACTGTTCAGCCACCTCTTGGGTTTCCCCCAAAAAGAGTGTTTTTAACAAAAGATCAGTTTGATAATAGGTATATCAAACATGCTTTTCTTTACATGCTCACTGTGGTGAAATAGTGAGGAGAGGATTGCCTTTTTCTAGAATTACAGGTTAGCGAATGGTTGAAATATTTGTTTTAAGGAGCTTCTTTCTGCTTGTTTGTTTTTGTGTAAAAAATAGGTACATTGGATGTGATATCCTTTTACTTTTGTTAGGTAAAAAAAAGTTTTGCCTCGGATTTATTATGAGCACGTGATATTTGGTTGCTCATGAATCTCAGTTATTTTATATATTACTTCTAAAAGTTTGCAAAAAATAAACTGCAAAGTAAATAAGACTTTTACAGAGTGTGCTGTGGTCTTGCAGTGCTTACATCTAGCATTCTCATTATGATTTTCATTATATTCCTAGGAGTCTGTTGTATCCCTGCGTATCTGTTTTAGGAAATTAAAGTGTTTGGTCTATTTACTATTTGGCAGTTATTAAAAGAATTTGAAAACTAAACTACTATTTCTCAGTCCTTAAAGTACATGTTAGTAAGTCCTTATTTAAAATACATATATTTAAAACTAACATGGCAAATTGCAGCTTAAATTATAGTAGTTTCTAAACCACATGTATAATTTAGGAAGTGTGTTCCATGTTCAACCTTTTAGATGCTCTTCCGATTAACAGTTTATTAAAACTTATTGTACCCTGTTATTTTCTGGATGGCTTAACATGAATAGCCAAGCAATTCATGAGCAGGTGCTGCATTTTGGTCTACAAGGTTTTAATATAGCAGATGCATTGTGGTTGACTGTAATTGCATTTTGTGTATTACAGTTTCTGTTCACATAGTAAGTATATTCACAGGGGACTAAGTACATTTGCCTAATTGTTACAATAGTGCTTGTGGTTGTGCAATTTTGGTCTTGGTATCTGTACAGATCTTGGTGCATAGCTGTTAGCAATTTATTAAAAGTAAAAGAAAAGCCCAATCTTGAGTATTTCATCCAATGTTGATTATTTCATACTAATACAGTACAACATTTTTAAATTTGTTTATCAGAAACTCTGCAAATAAGTGGATCTGCCTTTCTTTTTGGATGCTGAGCTAAAGAACGTCATCATGGGCCAGCAGCTCTCAAGCCAGACACACTCTGCTATTAATAAGCTGCCAGAAAAAGTAGTCAAACATGTATCCCTGGTTCGAGAAAGTGGTTTCTTGACATATGAAGAATTTTTGGGGAGGGTAGCTGAAATGAATGACACGTAAGGCTTTTTCAGTTTATTCTTTTGCATTTAAGATGACTCAGTATTTGAAAGAACATCCTCCTTAACACTACAGGCAACTCCTTGTTTGCGCATATTTGGAACATGCCTGACCACCCACACATGTGCCATTTTTGGCTGTGGAATGACCGACATGTGCAATGACCCAAAATGCAACCCTTGCACAAATGGGAAGTTGCCTGTATTCCAAAATGAATGTGTTAGCTGTTTCTGGTGGTGGTGGGAAACCTAATGAAAGATATACATCAGATGTTCTATTCAGTGCTAGATAGTTCTGTCTCTTTGATTGTAGATGAGTAAAATATAGTCTAGCAGTTACATTAACGTTGAAATGTGCATGTTTATAAAATTCCACATGGATAGCCATTTTAGTATGTTGCAGAGAGGGAGAGCATTGTGGTATCTAACAATAATGTAGTGGTATAAGTTAGTGTTGGCTACAACCCACCTTATGAAGTGTATGTTCATAAAGTATTTTAGCCAGCATATGTGTAGGGGGAAGAAGAACTAATTTCTTTGGCAAGGTACTATATATGCAGCTGCCATCACAGTTTACAGTACTGGGTTAGATGGACCAATAATCTGTAAGGTAGCTCCATATATTCATATTCTTTAATTGCATTAAAATATATGCCCTCTGTAGGGGCACAGATGAGGATGAGAGAGAGGAGACATGGGTAATGTGTTATCTTAGGAATCCCAAGCTGAGGGAGAATTATGAAAACTACATCGTTATTTTATTGTGTATTAAAATATAGTTGGTAGTTGTGCATCTTCGAGGATGTCTGTTTCTCGTGTATGTACTAGAATTGGATCTCTAGATTAAAGTGTAGAATATGGCTGTTCTCATTTCTAATCTAGATTGAATTGTGCTTTACAAATTTATTTCATACTGTGAAATAAATGGATGTTAAATAATTTCAGAACTGCCAAGTTGGGTTCTGGCCAGGACAAGCACCTGTTATTTGAAGTACAGCCAGGTTCAGATTCCACTGCTCTCTGGAAGGTAGCTGTTCGAGTAGTGTGTACTAAGGTAAGTTTGTAGAATGGTAAAATTTCTGTAAATGTTGAGGCCGGGGGGGGGGCATTTCTCCTATATCTTTGGTGGGGGTGGAACAGATATTTTTGGGAAACTGAATTTATTTATTTTTCAATACTTGTTTTTTAAAGTGCTCTTTACATATCAAAAGTCACTTTGTTACTTTAGGAACATAAAATGTGTCATGTATAACTTGGTTTCCCATAGAATTATAATGCTGGGTATATTAAAAGCACTGTTTATTCAGACAATAATTTCAAATTGAATTTATTTTTTAAGTTTTTGTTACAAATGGAGTTACAAACTGCTGAACTTTAAGGAATCTAGTATCTCTTTGGTTCTGCCAGCTTAGGAGGAGGTGGCAAAAAACAAACCCAGAAACCATCATTATAGTAAAACAAATTATTACATATTCAGAAAATTATTATGTCTTCTCCAGTCCTCAATAGTGTCAGGCAAACATAAAAAGAGCTGACAAAAAGAGGTGAGGGGGAACAAAATTCAAACAGACAGTACATGAAATTTAATTGGTCTCTTTTTCTAAGCCTTCCCTGTCAGTTTCTGTTTCTTCATATTTGTCATCCTATTTATCATGGATTTCTGAAAACTGAAAGTTTGCCATGGCTGCAACAAGTTTCTACCCTTTCACATGTCAATATATTTCTTGATTTGATGTGAGTGTTTCCAAGCAGATCAGTTTCTTTCTTTTGCAGAAGATGGAGAAATCTTAAGTAGATAAGAAGCAATAGGAGTCAGAGGCTGTGTTGTGCAAAGGCCTTGTTTGCGGGAGGGATATGCTTGGCAGAATCCCTTATTACATTCCTTGGCCAAATACCTGAATTTATTATTATTATTATTATTAACATTTGTTTATATAGCACCATCCATGTACATGGCTCTGAACACATTTAAGATAAGAAATTTTACTGGGGGTGGGGCTCATACGATCTAAAACAATATAAACAATACAATAAAATCAGTAGAGCAGCATCACAAAATCCAAGGTCATTAAGCGAACCCAGTAAAAGAGTACAATCAACCATGTCAAAGGCCACAGAAAAATCAAGAAGAATAAAGATGGAACGTAAACCCTTTGATTTGGCAACAAGAATGTCATTAGTATGCTTCGTAAGTCATCTCAAGTAGAGTAGAGAATAAAATCAAGGGCCAAACTAAAATAAAGAAAACCCAGACAGCAAGAATAGACAACACACTCCCAAGAGTTTAGAAGCAAAAGGCAGCAAAGAGGTGGGACAATAACTAGAAAGAGAAGAATCGGTAGATTATTTTTTTTAAGAATAGGAGAAGCTGTAGCATATTTGTATATTAGAGTGAATGAGCCAGAAGAAAAAGACATAGTAGTCAGAAGACAAGATGGAACCAGATCAAGAGGACAAGTAGCAGGATTGGAAGAGTCCAGCACACTGGACAGCTCCTCTACAGAAGATGAAACAGTTGAAAGACTAAGGAAAGGGGAAGGAGCCCATAAAACCACCATAGGAAAGGAACAGAAACAGCAAAACCAGTACGAACAGTATGAATCTTACTATCTCAAAAGGCGGCAAAATCCTGAGCTTAGAGGGAAGGAGGAAGAGGCAGTGGCAGTGGCATCACGTGGGGAGGGGAAGTGGCCCTAGGTCAATTGGGGGGGTGCATTTCGCTGTCTCGCCAAACCCCTAAATAAAACATTAAAAAAACAAACCTACGGTGGTGGGGCGGGGAGGGTTAAGAAAAAAGGTATCCAGATTCTCCCCACCCCACCCCCGGGAGTCACATCTCTGTAAGTATGTGAAAGTTGTTAATTCTCTGATTCATCTCAAAATATATTAAGAACTCAATATGTTTTGGTTGGACTTTGGTCCCTTATGTAACTATTTTTAAAGTCTTGGTGTTGTGTTGTTTAATGCAACCTTTACAGTCATTCACCCAAGTCACTAAAAGGGAAACTACGGTATATGGATGGCCTTTCAAATGACAGGGTCATTGTGAGCATTCTTAAGCCACCCACAGTGTGAGAAATCTCTGATCTTTGTACCATCTTCGAACTCTCTGTTTATGTCCTAGTTGGAGTGTGTATGTTTATAAACAAAGAATGCTGAGCACAGATAGTGAGGTGTTGTAGCAAAAATGGTAAGACTGCTTTCTGTATGTTTAGATAAACAAGACAAGTGGTGTTGTCGAAGCATCAAGAATCATGAACTTATATCAGTTCATGCAGCTTTATAAAGATGTCACGAGTCAAGCAGCAAGTGTTCTTTCGCAGAACATTGCCTCAGAAGGAGCTGCCGAGGATCTGTCATCTGTTGCATCTTGTCAGGCCAGCATTTTGATGGGAAGGTATCTCAGTATTCTAAGAGATCCATTTATGTTTGAAGTTGAGCACACAAATCTCTTCAGCTCATTATGTGTGTGTGTGTGTGTGTGTATATATATATATATATATATATATATATATATGACTATAATATGAATATTTTGCATAGAATAAAAGTTTAATGATTATGCTAAATAAGTCTTTCATCTCAACTTGGATGACAGTACGTCTATCTAACTATTACAGTTACAAACTTCTGTTTCGAGCTGTATGCAAATAATACATTGGTAGGTTGGTACTGCTTAAGCAAGGGCTGCCTTGAACTGCAAAACACCTGCATTGAATGAGCACTTGGGAGCCTGTTTCAAATATTGTATATAATCTTGAGAAAGAGACATGTTCTTCCTGCAAAGAGCTTGTATAATGAAAATCATCTGTTTTGCAACAGAAGCAAATCTATTTGCCATGTAAACTGGCTATCCTTTTTGAAACATTGCTTGAAGCATAGTCTTTCTCCGGATATGATCTGTTTCCACTTTTACTGAAGGTGAACTCTTGAACTAATGCACACATGAACAGGTTGCATAATGTTCTTATATTTCCTGTTAAAGACTAGTACAACTACAAATACAATGACAGCAGTGGAACCCTAAGTGTGTCTATGCTTCTTACCTATAAAGAGCAGAATTACTTTTTACTTCACATGGCATTACAGAATCTTTTCCTTTTCAAATATGTATGAAGCAGTGTTTTAAACAGCAGTGGGCTGCAGACTTATGATGATCTAAGGTGTTTGTTTGGAAACAAAATGTAATGGCTTGAATAAAATGGAAGCACTAGGCCACCTATGGCCTTAATAACTCTCTGACATAATACTGTTTTTTTTATTTTATTTTCATGGTACAGAAGATAAATTTTGATAAAACAATTGTTACAGCAGTAAACAATAAGTAACCTGTCCTGATAAAATTACATACTTTTATTATGCTATGTGTTAAAGTTTCATTTGATTACTCTAAGAGATCACACCCCATTTTCCCATGAGTGCTGAGTGGATTCCTGCCACAGTCTGAACAATTTATGTATTCAATAAACATTTGCCATATGTTATAAAAGGAATATGGATTGTGCTTGCCCTTTGCCGCTCTCACCTGGCATGTTAGTTTCTCAGCCAGTGCTATTGACCATACTCTGTTATACCAAGAATCAATGTTCAGCCTACCACTGGTTTTCCAACATCTGGCTATCTCCATGACTCTATTTTTTGAAACACTTCCCCCCTCCCTATTTTATACATAGGGGTGGCCAATGTGGCACCCTCCTGCTCCTATTGAACTTCAGCTCCCATCATCCCTGACTGTTGTCCATGCTAACTGGGGCTGGCATGCTGTGGTGGACACTATTCTGGCTACCCCTGGTCTGGTTTCAGTGAACAGTGTCATATAGCGATAGGCCCACATGAATCTTGGGTTTACTGAAATATTCCAGAAAGGGGATGGGTTGTATCTTGGTGTTAGAGGGCTTGCCTTCAATGCAACAAGTCACAGGCTCAGTCCCCAGCATCTCCAGCCAGAACCCAGGGAGGACCCCTTCCTGAAATTCTTGCGAACTACTGTCATGAACTAATGGTCTGAGTCAGCATAAGGCAGCTTTCTATGTTCCTAGGAATCATTCTTCAATCCATATTCCTTGAGGCATGTATTCTGTTACTTCCTCTTGCTTCAACTCTTATGTTTGTTTGATGTGATATGGGTGGTTTCTTTTGTTCATTGTATGGTGTTCAGAATAAAGCAGTGGGGACTACCTTTCTCTTTTAATGCCATAGTTGTCCACCAGTATAGAACAAGGAACTAATCCTTGAGCTTTGTGGAGAGGGAAGGCCGCATCATCTTACGTTCTCCAGGGTGTCCTAGGATTACACCTTAACTTTTAGTAGTAGCAAGGATAGAGCTGCGCATTGCATTCTTAATCTAACTTTAAGAAAATTTATTTAAATCTGAGCAACAGTCAGAACTGTTCTTTGTGGCTGCTTATGTTTTTTGGCATGTGGAAGTTGCTTCTTAGGTAGGTCTTCAACTTAAACCCAGAAGACTTGGGGAAGACATGCACTGGTTCATAAATGGTAGCCTGTTTTCTAATGAGTGGACAGCAAGTTACTGGAATCTGTACCTATTGTGTTTTAGATATTCAAAGCGATGAATGTTTGCTAGTCCTGAGGGATGGCTAGCTGTTCAAGGTAGTTTTAATGTCCAGTGGTGCTTATGGCAAATGTAAATAAAACATCTTTTTAAAGAGATGTTTTAATTAGGAGCAATATAGAGGGATTCTTGTTTTGAGAAGAGAATTGCTGCATAGATAAAATTCCTCAACAATGGAAAATATAAAAATATAGTATTGATTCTAACCCTGGGTGCAAATTTCTGCAACAGTGATTTATTTTAGTGGCTGTGAATTTTGTGTGCAGACATATCTTAGGGGATGAAAAATACCTGATATTTAGATCAAGTATTCAAATGGAAAATAGCAGTTGACTTGTGATCATAGAAAAATAAATACAGAGTACACAAGAAGTGGGAATAGATTTAAGGACATAAAATGAATTTCTTTCTTTTTCTTTTCCAAAATGAATTTCTTGGCACAAAAATAGGGTGCCAAGAACTTGACTGCTATAAGAAAATGCTTTCTTCTTGGCAGTGGAATATCATAATATGATCTTGTGTGCATACTATAATAATGCTGTTTGTCCTGTGTTTTCATGCACACGTTAGCTTTTTTTTGTATTCGGAGCTGCAAAAACAAAAGTATACCAGTAGTGAAGCAAACCCCAGCATTGACAGTTGCCTAGACATTCTCTTTATTCTTAGTGGGGAGAATTATGATTTTATCTGTCTCTGCATTTAAATGATGCATATTACTGCTAGTACTAGTACTGTTTAATAGGAGTGCTTTGGCCAACTTGCATCCAGAAAGACAGGCTTGAAAGTGCTCTGCCTAGAAGCTGCTGGAACCAGACACAGAACACATTTTCCTGTGTTCAGATGAAGTAGAAACAATAGCTATATATGTATATATGCAGAAATGCACAAAGATCAAAGGTGACTAGCCCACATGAATTGTGCCCACTTACAAATGTGGAGAAGCATTGAATCCACCCTTTCTGGGTGATATGCTCTGATTTTTAACACTCAGCATATATTATGCTGATTTATTATTTATTTAAAACATTGGTACCTTGCTCAAGGCGACTAACTGCAAAATAAAACCATAAATTAACAATTTAATACATCAGTTATAAAAACATTAAAACTAAAGACAACTGTAGAAAAGCAATAACAATGTACCAGCAATAAAGATTATTCCAAACAAGCAGAAACATAAAACTATTTCAGTGAAACAACTATCTAGAAGCCAAAAGCTGCCTTTACAAAGATGGTTTTGGATAGTTTATGGAAGGCCATTAAAGAGGAGCGTGAGATATACCTCCCTTTGAGAAAGTTCTCTTCTCTATAATTGTGCTCCGGAAGCTAGTGGCTTTATATGTATTGGTTTTATATTGGATTTGTTTATAGAGAGCAGCTGTTTTGTATGCAGAGAGGTTCCATTTGCATGCAACAGGAGATTGCTGGATCAGTCCAGTTGAGATAGGCTAGAAAACCTAAATGTAATGCAGTAGGTATTATGTGGCATAGCCACCCATGAGCTGGACACCATATTATGAAATACAAACATGCACAACAAAAATAAAAGTTTATACAGAAGAAACATGCTGAGCAATGCCAAAATATAAATTTATCCCACTTCTAATTGCTATGATTGGGAATAATAGTTTTATCTGTATTGTAGGGTGAAACAGCTGACTGATGAGGAAGAATGTTGCATCTGCATGGATGGACGGGCTGATCTGATCTTGCCATGTGCTCACAGCTTTTGTCAGAAATGCATTGATAAATGGTAAGTTTGTGACACAGGCTCTGATTGCATTATTTTGTGAGGCGTCCTGTGAAATTTGACCAGTTTCCCTAGAATAAATTTGCCGAAAAGCACTGAAATAACACATCACTAGCTTTGTCTTGTAACAACAAGAATAGAAACCATTGATTTTGGTAGATAGCATGAGGTAAGGGATGTGTTATGTGGGAGCATCAAGCAAACTGGATTTTGTAAAGAAAATGTGTTCCATTGATGGGCATTCCCTGTTTAATCTCTTAAAAGATAAAACCATCAGGACAAATGCCTGGCAAGTTGCTAATGTAATCTTAAATCAAATTGCTGTTCATGTCAGCATCAGTCTGCACATATATATTTAAAACAAAGGACTGAGTTCAACTAAACAGTTGCACTAGCTGAAGCCAGCATGAGTCCTAATTACACAATGGAGCTGTGCCCCTACAATCAGACCAGTGCACAGGGGAAAGGCAGAGCAGAAATGTGTGCATTGTCAGTTTGTGCATTTGCACAGTTTTGATTCCCACCCAATGTTGACAGTGTTCAGATGACGGAGAAACTGTTTCAAAATGGAGCTTTTGCTCTGTTTTGAGTATGGAGTTACTTCAGAACCTTAAAAATGAAGGCTTGAAGGTATTTTGAACTGTGGTTTGTATCTGTATAAACCGGGGGTCGGCAACCTGCGGCTCCAGAGCCGCATGCGGCTCTTTAAAGCCTTTGCTGCGGCTCCGGGGCGGTGGCGAGGGGAGGAGGCGAGGGGCGGAGGCGAGGGGCGGAGGTGACCAGCCTGCCGCCCGGCGGGCGGGGCGCCGTAAAGCAGAGCGCCCCCCTCGCCAGGCAGACATCCGCAGCGTGGGGAGCCTTGCCGGACTTCCCGGCAAGGCTCCCGACGCTGCGGATAGCAGCCTGCCGCCCGGTGGGCGGGGCGCCCTAAAGCAGAGCGCCCCCCTCGCCAGGCAGACATCCGCAGCGTGGGGAGCCTTGCCGGAGGTCCCGGCAAGGCTCCCGACGCTGCGGATAGCAGCCTGCCGCCCGGTGGGCGGGGCGCCCTAAAGCAGAGCGCCCCCCTCGCCAGGCAGACATCCGCAGCGTGGGGAGCCTTGCCGGAGGTGCCGGCAAGGCTCCCCACGCTGCGGATAGCAGCCTGCCGCCCGGCGGGCGGGGCGCCGTAAAGAAGAGCGCCCCCCTCGCCAGGCAGACATCCGCAGCGTGGGGAGCCTTGCCGGAGGTCCCGGCAAGGCTCCCCACGCTGCGGATAGCAGCCTGCCGCCCGGCGGGCGGGGCGCCGTAAAGAAGAGCGCCCCCCTCGCCAGGCAGACATCCGCAGCGTGGGGAGCCTTGCCGGAGGTCCCGGCAAGGCTTCCCACCCTGCGGATAGCAGCCTGCTGCCCGGCGGGCGGGGCGCCCTAAAGCAGAGCGCCCCCCTTGCCAGGCAGACATCCGCAGCGTGGGGAGCCTTGCCGGACTTCCCGGCAAGGCTCCCCACGCTGTGGATAGCAGCCTGCCGCCCCGCAGGCATCGGCCAGCCCCACAAGCTCGGGGGACAGCAGGGAGGCGAAGCGCCGCCATCCCGCTGTTCCTCGACCTGGTTCAGTTTCCCCGACCTGCTTTTGGGGGGGAAATAAAGGGAAATTTTTTCCCCTTTATTTCCCCCCCAAAAAACTAGGTGCGTCCTATGGGACGGAGCGTCCTATGGGGCGAAAAATACGGTATTTTTATAATGACGAATGCCTCATTATTAATTATTATTTACATCAGGCACTGATTATGATTTATGGTACACTGGGGCCCTGATTAATTTTCTATGGCATTTTGGGGCATTGATTATTGGGCATAGCAAGTCGCGGTCGCGTGGAATTTGTGCTTTGTGACCGTTTGAAGTGGGGTTTTTTTCTTGGGAGGCTGGGCGGCACGAAGAGAGGGATTATTTTTATAATGATGAGGATGACATTGGGCCCTCATTATTAATTATTATTTACATCAGGCACTGATTATGATTTATGGTTCACTGGGGCCCTGGTTAATTTTCTTTGGCATTTTGTGGCATTGATTATGCAGTCGCGGTCGCGTGGAATTCCACGTGGAGTTAGTTGCCTGAAGCCCCTTTTTAGTTGCTTGAAGCCCCTTTTTAAACTTAAGCAGGTGAAAGTTTGGTGAATTGCTGCCAAGGAGTGTGGTGGAGTCTCCTTATTTGGAGGTCTTTAAGCAGAGGCTTGACAACCATATGTCAGGAGTGCTCTGATGGTGTTTCCTGCTTGGCAGGGGGTTGGACTCGATGGCCCTTGTGGTCTCTTCCACATATGTATGTGAGCAGGTCTTCTCCAACATGAACTATATTAAAAACAAGCACCGATCACGCCTCACAGATGACAGCTTGCAAGCCTGTGTGAAAATGAAGGTGACGTCTTACAGCCCTGATGTGCAGACACTGAGCACTGAGGTTCAGGAGCAAAAGTCCCATTAACCTGGTTACCTGGTTGTAAATTAAATATTTTAATTAGCTATTAATTTGTCCTTTTTTCTTGAGATTGACAGCTGACTGCACGATCCTGTATATATAGCATTAAGGCCAGAAACAATATATGTAGTGTTATATTTGTTTTAAATGTTGCAATGTTTTTGCGGCTCCCAGTTGTTGTTGTTTTTTCGGAAACGGGTCCAAGTGGCTCTTTTTGTCTTAAAGGTTGCAGACCCCTGGTATAAACTCTACTCAGAATAGACCCATTGAAATTAAGTTAGTCATGTCCATTCATTTCATACTTTTGAGTATGACTAAGATTGACTACAACCCTTTGAAATTATTACAGCACATTATACCTATATACCTTTAACTAATGATGCTTTGTGTAGGAAACAGCTTCTAAGTATCCAAGAAATGATATGTCTTTAATAGAATTGCAGCAGGGAAGATAGCTTCTGCCCTTAGGGTAGCAGCCACCTGTGGTGCAAAGCAGATTCAACTTGACTCTATTCCAAACTAGGCTTGAGCAAATAGTCATCTGGACAAAATGGTTTATATAATCTGGTTTCAGAATTTAAAGCCTAAAATCTTGTGACTTTTTTAAATAACTAAAGTCTCATGTTCTAGTTTGTCTAGATTACGGAGATAAACAGGGCTGCCAGTTCCATTTGAAAACTGAATGGAATCTCAGGAATCTCTAGAGGGCCCCATCGGAATAAAATTTTAGTAAAAACATTCACGGAACGCTGTTAACATTTGGGCATTAGTGATTTCCAAGATGAACATTAAGCAGCATTGTTCTTTCATACCACAGCACTCTGTTGTTTTACCAGGGATGTTTTTTATTTGACTCTGGAAGGGGATGTTACCAGTCTACCTGACACTGCTAAATACCTCCTGCAAGAACATTGTTCAGTTTTGACACAACAGCTTCAGGATGTTCACAAATTGGGAAGAATCCACAGTCCTGCCCTTTGAATTGAAAGATTTCAAAGGGAGGTCATAAGAGGAAAAGGGAGGGGGGACAGGAAAAAAGGAATTTAAGGGTGTATAGATTGACTTTGTGTACCCTAAGCACTGATTATAGAAGCAATGGTTTAAAATTACAGAAAGGTTGGCTTTGGATTAATAATTGGAGAAGATTCCATTGGGGGAAATTCCCAATGATAAAAGCAACAGAATATAATCAGTTATAGGGGTACTGTTCCTTGGTGGATTTCAAGAAAAGGCATGCTAGTCATGTATTGAGGATTGTTTGGGTGTTTCTCGTCTATGGTAGTTCTAACATACTGCAGTAAATCTTCTCTAGTCATGCCTGTAATATTCCATTCTAACTTATAAGCAAAGGTAGCAATGGGTATTATTACTTCTTAAACTGTGTGATACTGACTTTTTTCTTCTGGCTTGTTACACAGGAGTGGTCACCACAGGAATTGCCCTATATGTCGTCTGCAGGTGACTGCAGCCAATGATTCTTGGGTGGTATCAGATGCACCAACAGAAGAAGATATTGCTACCTACATACTCAACATGGTAGATGAGGCAGGCCAGCCTCACAGACCCTGACAGGAACAAAGCCCATTGCCTTGAAATCTTAAAAGATTTCATTTATTGTTTCATTTCCTCATTGTATTGCTTTCTATAAAAGTCGTAGGTCTTTAAAAGTGACCATTTGTCTATGAGCCAGTTGTACACGTTTATATTTTTAAATGCTCATCAATAATTTCTCTGCACGTAGCACCTGCAGAAGGATAAGTTAAAGAGTTTTCTGACTTTCTATGAGACACTGGAATAGCTAATATTTGAGTTCTAGTATAAGCTCTTCTGTGATCATTTGTTGAAGCTGAATTTCAATATAGATGGTCCAGAAGAATGTGGGAAGTTGCTGAGGGCCTGTTGTTCTAACCCTCAGAAGCAATCCTTCTTTATGCAAGTATGTGTGTATGCTCATGCCTGCCTGCTTACATGAATAGGAATTTGTCCCACATTTACATTTCAGTAACATCTACTGGCCCCTTGTGGCTTGCTTAGTATTGACAAATGCTTCCTTAAATCACCACTAATTGTAGCATGTTGTTTTGAGACAAAATTTTCTGATGGCACACAATTTTGATAAAACGGCTTTTGCATTCTTGTTCAGGGAGAATGAGTTGTCTAGTCAACTTCAAAAAACTTCCCAGGTTCACCAAGTCAGAGCTGCTTGCATTCAGGAATAAATGTGTTCATACCTTTGCTGACCACAGACGACCCAAAGTTTCTGATCATGCAACGTAGCATCTAGCTTTCAAGCTTTTCTAGACTTCCATTGTTAAATCACCATTATAACCGTAAAAAAAAGATGGTGATCTGAGGTAAATAGATGGTGCTAGACTCCTTTCTACAGGTGCAATATGCTTTACTGTAACAAAGGAATGTGTTCTTTGACCACAATTGCTTTGCTTTAATGTCTTATGGAATCGGTAACCCTGAAGCCTGTACTACTTGTTCTCAGGAGTATTGGTACCAGGACTGGATCCAGGTTTAAGGGTGGCACTCAGCAGATTATCTTCTTTTGGGCCCTCAGATTACTTTGTTAGTGGCAGATGGCTGCAAGCAACCATTTTACATTTCTAACAGCATCCTGGAGGAACTCTGTATGGAGGCATTATGGAAAATGACAACTTAGAGGAGGGATGGGGAACCTTTCTAGCCTTGTGGTCCAGGTTGTTAACACCCCCACCTTGTGCAGGAGTTTGGCAGGTGGCCAGTGGCTAGAGATGCACACCTGTCAGTTGTCTAATGTCACGATGTCTAGTGACATTTTTGCCCATAGGGGTCTACAGAAGCCTCCTTCAAAGAACAGGGCAAGATAAGACTTGGAGTTGAGCTTCTGAAAATGTTCACAGAAGCCACTCTCAAATGCTGTCTTGCCCTGCACTTTGAAAGGGGTTTTGCAGGCAGCATGATTGGCAATGTCTGCAAATACCCTTTTGGCCAAGCTCTACCCTTACCTGCTGCACATCCGGGATTGCTGGAAATGTGTGAATTGTAACACTGCTGTTTGAGATTATGCTAAAGTTTTGCGGATACTTCAAGTTACTTGCAGGTTTAAAATACTGGTTAAAGACTTGTAGAATATATCTGAACTTTGCATTACAGAAGATGACAGATATTTCTGGCTTGTTTAAAGCCATAAAGTTCAATCTAGACAATTACAATATGGCTCAAGTTGTTTCCCCCATCTATAATGACTTGCCAAAATCAGAAATTAGACAGCAAATTAGACTACTGAATTCAGTGACATCTTTGACTTTGAACTCCAGTGTTAGGTTGTAATCCTGATATAATTTTCTTGGAAATGGTTCTCACTGCTAATTGATGAACTTCAATGTGTTTAACATCATAGTGAACAGTGAAGGGTTTGGGGATTTTTTTGTTGATTGTAAAAGTGATCATGTTAATTTTCCCCCACCCTTGTCCAAAGTATTAGGAATTGGCAGAAGTGCCTAATGTTTTAACAGCAAGCGTTTTAAACCTAGTAAGCTCTTAAGTCTTCCTTCTTTAGTGAAGATTATCTTATCTGTTGTTAATATGACTTATACTTTGATTTTTAAATGTTAGGGTAATATTCAATGCTAGTCCTACTCAGAGTAGATGCAGTGAAGTTAATGGACATAGCTAACTTAGGTTCATTATATTCAGTGAGTGTACTTGAAGTAGGACTAATTTGAATAGAGTTCATTGAGTCCTTGATAAAGCCCTGCATACCAGACTTAAGCAGCTTGAAATTGGCCCGGTTTGCATGTCACAATAAGTTGACATTTTAATTGTGAACTTGCCTGCCCCCTTCCATGAGCAGTAAGCCAGAAATAAAGGTTTGTTGTGACTTGCTGTGTGTGTAGCAAAACGTATCAACATTTCTACCACATAAGCCATAGAATGGATTGTTCAAACAAGGTGGGAAGAGAAGGCATGGTAGAAGTGGAGGTGTGTTAATGATTAAACTTACAAAAACAATCTGGCTTGTTTTGAAATGCTAACAAGGCTATGAGTATATAGTCTATAATGTAAAGATGCAGGGGTACTTTTGATTCTAACACTAATAATGAAGCTTGTAAATAGGTGTAAACTTTGTGATATGTATAGCATTTTAAATTAATAAGTATACACAGTGGTGGAAGTACTGTAAAATGTATCTTGTTAAAATGTAGGCCACTTTACTCCTCTGTGCCACTACTGTTCCTCTCTTCTGCCTCCATGTCACTGTAGTTTTGTCCCTGTCTCTGAGTATTAAAAGGACTGGCAGCTCTCTAAGGCTATGAGAGTTTACTCCGAAGCCCATGGAGAAAGATGCAGTTCATCACTGAGGAGCTTTCCCATGTGCTCTTGACAGACACCCTGCACATGGCAAAATTACAAGGCTGCTCGAACTTACAGATGAGCAGTAATCAGCTAAACTATCCCAATAGTGCAAGGGTTTCTGCTTGTGCAGTGGGACCCCACTGCCCCTTGTGCCCTCAAATCTGCTGCACAGTTGGGAGAACCAGTCAGACAGATTTAGGGCACTCACAGAGAGAAATGGTCCATTATGCAAGCAAGAAATCCTTGCTGTACATTGGATTTCACCCAGTATGTGTGTTACCACCAAAAACACCGTTTATGTTTAAAACTGTAATATAATTCAATATTGGAAGAAAACTTGATTTGTCAATTTAATAATGTTGAATAGTTTTAGAACTATGACTTTTTTAAACAGTGAATTTTCAGCAAAAGTTGAATTATGAAGAAAAAAATGCATTACTTCCCTGTTTTGCATTAATGTGAATATTTCTTAAGGGTTTGATAAAGAGTGTTAATAGCTATTAAACTTTCCAATGTATTATATTGTTGTGAATATTGTGCAATAAACACTTCAGTCTCCAGCTTTGTGCAATACTTGAAAATCCTGCCGCCAGACCTCAGAAGAGAACCGTTTCTTATAGAGAAAACTGTTGTGTTTATTTCCATAAATTAGTTGTCTTCATAGGCATCAGGTCCCTGAATGCAGGGGTTTACACTGGAACATAGGTGCTGTAGTAAATAAAAAGTCAGCAAAAGTGGCTATGGATGTGATAGATTGCTTCCTTTAGTTCTAAAGTGTTACTGTAGGTCCTCAGGGATAAAGTTAAATTAGGGGAGTATTTGTCACATTCTTTCACCACCATTTTTATTGATTACAAGTGAATATAATCATCATTTTGACTCTTCTGGAAAATTAAATCTAGCAATGGAAGGGTTCTGAGACCCTGTTTATCTTAGCCTTCTAGAATACAGAGGTTCCAGCTGGGAAACAATTCATAAACATTGCTTAATACTGTATACTAGCTATAATGAAGATCTGTCAAGACAATGCTTGTCCTTGGTTGTTCAAAATGCTTGTTCAAGGGTAGGACATTCCATAACCATAAAAATAATTCAAAAGTGTGAACTTTCCACAAATTCTTAGGCCCGCTTACTCAAGAATAAATGCTTAAGCTCAGTAGGACTCATGTTTAGGATTTCTGCTTAAGTTACCTAGTGCACAGAGTAGGCATGTCAGTCTAAAGATAACAGGTGAGAGGGGGAAAACAAGCTCTCCCTATACTTAACCTACTCCATGGATTTGTGAGAAGATGCTCAAGATAATGTTTTACGTTGGAGAACGAAACCTAATACTTTAAAATATTTAGTAGTTCTTTGTTTAAAGTAATCACATACATTTCCACCCAAGCCTTATGACAGGGGTATTTAAATAGCTTCCCCAGGGCAACAAGGTGCTGTGACACTGTTTTAGTACCATAGCAGCCATTCTGTTTCACTAGAATGTAAAACAACCATAAACCTTCAATCAAAACTAAAAAAATCTTATATAATTTCCTAGTTAGCACAGCAGGTACACACTATGTGACCATGTGTAGCAGCCTTAAGGGAAGTTTTAAATGCTGACTTTTCTGCACATACTCTCTTAATTTCTTCATACAGTAAGCCTGCAATTTACGTGGGGATTACGTTCCAGGGACTGACAGATTTGAACAGTGCTGGATAGTCAAGGGACAGAGGACTTCTGAGTAGACATACATAGGACTGCTCTATAAGTTTCAGATGCTATGCCAGTGCACCATAAGAAAACATAATGGTAAATCAGCATAAACATTTATGACTGATGTTGCTAGTCACCAAAGGACAATTTAAAAGATTTAATGAAACTACAAGAGCAATGGCCACACCTACGATTTATTGTGGGTTTTTTGGGGAGTATAGACAGACAAAATGTAGACAAAAGTGGTGAATAGGTTTTCCTATCATGTGCAACCAGGAAAAACATGCAGCTCTTTGGTCATATTCTTTTTCTTCCCTACATTCATTGCAATACAGATCAAAGAGTGTACACAAACTAGAGATTAAAGTGCCATAGATCCTTGCCTACTGCTAGCTAAGCATGGCAAAAGAGGTGCATGTGTGCTACCAGAAGCTGCAGCATGTTGCTTGTTTCAAAGCAGACACTCACGTATCCCAGATGCAAACACTATAAATATTATGCCTAGATTTGGAGTGCACTTTTAAACGTTAATTGCAGCATAAAGAAGATTCAGACCCTGCATCTGAATATGTACAGCAGCCCTAACTATGCTTACAGAAACTGGACTTGGCAGCCAAGTCTGACGCAACGTAAGACTCCTGATCACCAGGCAGCTCTCCCTCCTGCAGTTGCTCAAGTCCTCTTATGTTCACAGGCTTCTGTCCTTTGCACGATACTGTGGCTATTTTGACAGTGCAGTAATCTCTTCTGTCTTCATTGCATCAGCTAGGAAACTCAGCTCGTTGCAGAGGTTCTCATATCTGTAAGCCATCCGAATCTGTGCAACATTAGTCTTTCGAATGTCATTTCCTTCAGGCCCTTCGCTGGAATAGTTTGTCCCTATGCATTTCTGTTTTTCCTAAGGAGGAAACAACGTTTAAAGATGATTATCAACTTAAAAGTTGCTCTGAATTTTAAAGGTAATGCTTTTTTTTCTTTTTGAAAAACCCATTAGGGCTTGGGTTGGACAAGAGATGCCTCTCCTACCCAGCAAAAGCAAGAAGGAGGGGGAGGGAGGGGGACCAGAGACCAGTGGTTGCTCCCAGGTGATGTTAGATTACAACTCTAATCACACCTAAGTGTTGGCCATGCTGGCTGACCTGATGAAGTTTAAGTCCGGCAACATCTGGGAGGGCAACATGTTAACCACCCACACCATGGAGGGAGTCATCTCAGCAGCAGCATTTATTCTGGCAGAGGAAAAAACTGCCAAAAAAGAAACAGCAGCTGAGGGCAAGGAGAAGAAGGTAGATGGCAGTAATACAGTCTTCAGTTGTAATGTCATATTCTGAGGGATTGTTGACCCAAAATGGCTGACATCTGGAGGCTGCTTTGAATAGCTTCCAGTAGCAGCTTCCTTGTACATGTTGCATAGTGCCTAAACACATGGATCTGGGATGATTCCATATCACTGCACAGGGGGGATTTATGGAGGTAAGAGACTAATTTCTCTGGTCCTTGTAATGCATTCCTACACAAAATGGATTTAAGACAATTCCATGGGAGCCATTTCATAAGGCCACCATGTAGTAACCATTTTGTGATATAACTTGGCCTCCATTCACTCTCTAGCCCTGGGCAGTCAATCACTCAATTTTTCCCTCTGTCAAAAAACCCAAACAGTCAGGATATTCAGTCACTGGCTTCCCTTTCAACTTTCAGACTATCCTATCAGATGATAAATATGCATCCACATGTTTAATACAGCGTGACTGCAGTCCCCATTCCAATCAGGCTTCCAGCTGCACTCAGATTCTAGCTTGACGTGTAACACAAACAGCGGCACATACAAAACAGAACTTCCTGCAGCGCACGGAATTTACCTTATGCGACAAACCACTTTGTAGTACACTGTTCCTTGCTAATTCACACAAGTCACAAGTGCTCAGTTTCCACACTTGAGCTGCTATGGCATATTCCTCCATCAGTGCTTCCTTTAAACATAAAATATAATTATTTACTAGCTATGTAAACACACTCGTATACTTGTAAATAAATTCTGTTAAGACAACTGTCTAATGGTTATTGGACCATCTCAAGTGGTGAGCTAATTGCTGAGAACTGCAGACATCATTGCCAACTGAGTTGTAGTTCTTAGGAAGGTATGCCTGGAGACAAACAATATATATGCTTATATATTCAAGATTTAGGATTTAAGCACAAAGTAAGGAAGCAAACAGAAAGCCAGCCAAGAGCCAGGTGAGGAGTCATTATAAATGAGTGGCTGAGGACCTGCAGGATTCTAAGCTCCCTTGTTCCCTTGGCATCCCATCAAAAAGAACCCCCAACTATGCAAAGTCCTGGGACTGACATAGTTAATTCCCTCCTACTGAGAGGAGGGGAAAGTAAGAAAAACTGTCCTCCTGGCTTCAGCAATCCAACAGGCCTTAGGAAATGACAGTATTTCTTTCTCTCTCTCTCTCTCTCTCTCTCTCTCTCTCTCTCTCACACACACACACACACACACACACACAGCTAACATAGGATTGTTCTGGAACCGACTGTTGGACTATGAATGATATTAAATGCCAGTCCAATTCAAGAGTAGACCCACTGAAGTTAGTAAACATGACTAGCTTGGGTTAATTAATGGTCATGATTCTACCTTGAGTAGGAGTTAACTATTATATCATGGCTGTAACCCTATGCTCATGGAATGCAGAAGGACTTTCTTCCACATAAACATACATTTGACTGGGCTACTTCTTGGGTTGATGGGGGGGGGGATTTAAATTACGGCAATTCATTTTGAAATGCAGTGAACTTCCAAAATTACTTACTTTTGTATAGTGGAACTGCATTGGGTCATCTGTAGACAGAGAAACATGGAGTCCCTTGTGTAGAAATTCTCGGAGTGGGTTTTTTGAATACTCCAGGAATAGGCTGTTGTTGCTAAGAGGGGACATGGCAATGGGGA